TCCCAGTTATCCTCCTCGTTGGGTCTAAATTCGTCATCTTACCAACCAGGTCCCTGAGATCAGGCTCTACATAGCCCCAACGCTCAAAAGGCTGCCTAGGATTCTCTGGCCCAAGGGTGTTGGCTAGATCTATCAAACGTTCGTAAAAAGGGTTCTCCTCTGCGATATGTTCAAGAAACCCATTGAGACCATCTTCGTCCGTAAAATAAGATATATGCCGGCGAAGGATATGACGCCATGAATCGGCGGAGTTTAGTTCGTCGTCCTTGACGCGGAAGACCATCTCATTGACCATCACATAGATCATCTGAAAGGCATCAGCGACGCGGAACCAACGGAACCACGAAGTGGTAGGAAGGCGAGCCATACTACAGCCCCAAAAGAAAAACATCCGAGGCCAGGTTCTGGCGGGATTGGCACCAACTCTCAGGACTTCTCCATATTGCATTGCCGCATAGAGGACCAGTCAGCCACTTCCCTTTAGGTCCAATGACTGTATCCTCAAGGTCTGAGATTTGCACGCTTTTGAAAACGAGTCCACCCTCGGCACTTTCCATATAGCCTACAAGAATATTATTGGCTTTGATGTCTGCAGTCGGTCAGCAGCATGATCATGAGATTTTCTGAACGTAAATACGTCCCGCTATGGAGAATATCCCTATCGTGGAGAAGAGAATATATCTCCTCGTATCTCCCGACAATTTTCTCAGACTTAAAGGAAGCAGATCTCCAGACCAGTACGGGTAGATGAACATCTCCAGATCTTTGACTTCAACCACCCGTCGCACGTTTGGGCAAGTCGCAAGCAATTTCTGGAGGTTCAGCTGATAGTCAAACTCGCCTGAATCATGTTTTTTTCGCTATGATCTCCCTTCCATCAGCACTCTCGCGCAGTTAGCAGGAGGCTTCAAGTGGCTTGGATTGACACACCTTGCACGGCATACACATAAAACCGGGTTTCTTTGCTGAGCAAGGACTTCCTCAATTCTATATATTCGCCCAGAGTCGCTCTTGAGGATCGGGCCGAGGGTGAGAGGCTCCTTGCTGAGCTGTGGCATGTGAGACATGAGGTAGCGCTGTGAGATTCGCTGCCCAGAATACGGTATTCAAAATGACAGTATTCTTGCAAGCATCATGTCTGAATTGATAGGAATCTTGATAGCCCAGGGATAAGTACTGGATGGACCACCATGGAAGGGGCAATTGTTGATGGATATGAGCCTGAATCATATCTTGGCAGCCGCTGGTCAGCCAATCACCCGTGACACCAGCCCCCGATGTAGACAATCCGCAAATCCCTATCCAACCCACCCAATCCGCAAAATGGGTTAAACATACACAACCTATGTGGATATCCAAATTAGGTGCGCACGACCTACGGCCTCGTAGAACTGACAAGCTTATCTAGCCGTATGGTCTATAACTAGGCCTAGCTAAGTATATATCCTTAATATATATGGATGGAGAATAATAGTATCTATCCGTTTACTAAAAAGAAATAGGTGTTGTGGTGGATATATCCATTATCCGCAGTCCAACCCGCAGGGATATGACGGTGGGTTAGATAGCAGGGGTTCAACCCATTATCCGCATGGGTGGATGAAGTGGATTGGGTGGATTGGACGTGGATCAACCCATATCCAATCCACAACCAATCTACACTATGATACTAGCACAAAGTCTTTGGTTTATTTGTGGCCCGTGCAAGGATCCATTCATGCCTTGTGTATATTTGAAGCTACTGTGGTACTTTTGCATGCCTGGGGGATTATAACGTCAGGACTCGCATAATTAGATCGTTGATATTATGTATGAGACAGTAGGTTATATCTCATAAAACCGTGACTACAGAAATGAGCAGAGCGGGGTACGCCCGACCCTGTAGGCAAAATGTAAATATGCGATTCCTAGGCCACAGCCTTTTCGGGATGATTGGCCGGGAGAACATCAGCTATGGTCTCGTCCGTGCCCGCAAGATCATCCTCAACATCGATGTGATCACGGATCTTGAGGAAGATGACGGGGGCAGCAACAACGAGAGAGACGGCGAGGAGAACCCAGTTGCTGATAAATTCCTTCTCGTATGAAAGCTTGCGGGCATCGAGGTTGTTCACAATAGCCGCGCCGCAGGACTGAATGCCCTTGTAAAAACCGACGTAGTTGGCAGAGCGACGGCCGGAGTTGGAGAGAGCGCCCATAAACCTGTTCATTTTGATTAATTGTCATCAGTCTAGGAGAAAAAAAAAATTCGGTTTGATGAGAACGTAACATACCAGTAGACGCTAGCTTGCCAAGCGGCATCGTAGAAGCCGTAGAAAAGGTACAAGAACATTGGGCCCACATAGCCGGGAGTCTCCCAGTCAGTCGGGACAAAATTGGGATTGAGCTTGGGATTGACGCTTTCGCGGGTGTATGTCTTCTCATAAGCGTATCCACCACCCCAGATGGCAAAGGTGAGGATGAAGAGAACGACCCAGGTAATCTTCGCTCGGACGGAACGGCGAACGCTCTGGACATCAAGAAGGTATCCCCAGATGATAGCTGCAATGATCTGAGCCAGGAAGTAAAGAAGACTGTTAAGAGCCTTGGTTCGGGTACCGAAGTGAGCACCGTTGACCGAGTTCTGCTGGTAGACGTAGAACCAGTTCGAGGAGAAGAACATGGGGAAAAGGAGAACTACAAATGGCTCGAATCGGAGGGTTTCCCAGAGACCGAGTAGCTCAGACTGCCAGCTGGGATGCTTCATCAAGATGACGCGGCTGCCGTCTGGTCGAATAATGTCGCTAGCGTTGCAGAGGCAGAGAGCAAGGAGGGCTCCGACGAACATCAAGACGATGAAGCCGATGTACGTACCGTCGGAAACGGTAATGTTAGTCTTGACGTGGATATTCTCGCCAAGGGGAATCTAGCTGCGTGTTAGTCAGTCTGTTGGAATACATCGAGTCAGGAGACGTACCAAGCTGCCAATAACGGCACCCATGTTGAAGATACCCCAGAACCAAGCAAAATACCGTCCCTTTTGTTCCTCAGTAGGGTAGGAGATCATAATGGTACCCTGAGCGGTCCACAGAAGACCGGCGCAAATACCGAGCCATGTCCCAGCGAAGATATTGAATCCGGAAACGCTGGCGTGGACCGAGACCAACAAGCTAATAGCGTAGATGCAGTATCCGATACCACCGAAGGCGAGCGTCCATCTGACACCAAGCTTGTTGATAAAAGTACCACCAAAGAAGCCAAAGACTGCAAAAGCACTGTAAAGAGCAGTGTTCTGTTCAATTGTCAATGGTAGCCTTTACGAATTCAGTAGCGTCTGACGCACCATGTTATCTGCCAAAGTCGCGTCGGTCTTTCCACCCCCACCTAACCCACCCAGGGCATTGAACATTCCGGGACACATGAAACAGACAAATGCCACCAACAACAACTGCACGCTAGGCGAGGCATACCAGGGGATGCTGAAGCCGAAAATGCGGTGCTGCCTGTATTTCCATCCTGCTGGTAGATCTGGAGGAGCATCAATGCTCTCACTGTGGTCATGGGGAGTGATTTCCACAGACATGGTGGAGTGTGCACAAAGGGTAATACTGATGCGGATAATGGAAACTCTGAAAAGCGAGGCTGTAGACGAAGGGAGATCGTTCTAATTTATTTTGGTCTCGGTGTTGATAAGCGAAGAAAGGAATAGCTTCCCCGTATAGCCACGTGAAACCGATACTACACTCCAACTCTTCAAGGTAGTATTCAGTATTAAGTCGAGTGTCTCCATGCTGACAGTCCCCAGATTCTGTCCAATAATACAGCCCGGATTACAGGCTCCGAGTCGCGTGTGATTGATAGGAAAGGAGTCGGGTAGCATAGCAGCGTCAGCCTTGCTACTCGACCCCCTGACCCCGCATAGAAGGACTAAGCATGGTCCAAGGCTCCACTGGTCCCACCCCCGCAACTCTTAGGTTCGAGAACCCATGGCTTCAAGCAAATGAAGTGACTTCCTTGGGAAGCTTTGAGGATGACCACAGAGCACCGTAACATTTGCTGGCTGAGCTTGGCTTGCTGAAAGGGATGGTGGAAGACAGCTTGGCCAGAGGCGCTAGGCAAGATACGGTATAGGATAGGAGACTCTAGCGAAATGTAACGTTACCAAACGTGTAGCACTCTGAGATGTGTTGAAGATAAGAGCTAATGCGTTGTCTTGGCTCTTGTTCTACGACACTAATCTAGACAATGTCAAGTTGAAGTTTGCTTATTCTGGCCAGCATTATTATCTACAACAAGGCATAAGAATGCTGTAGTTTGGATGGATGTAACCGTAGAGGAACTATGGCCTTATCTGAGTAGTAATAGAGCGCCATCCTTCTGAACATTTACCGGGTGACCAAGGAAAGCGCCGTAAGCCATCAATCACACCCTGATAAGGCCTGGATATCGATTTTACAGCTGTTCAAGGATGAAAGATTGCCACCTTATGGCTTGGACGTGTATCTTTGTCTGGTTAGTTATATAGCAGCCAATTAGTCAGCCACCAAGCCGCTCCTCGTATTCATCTGGATCTCAGACACAAAAGTGATTGCTGCTGAACCAATAATTTCATTTATAAACCAATGGGATATAAATAGCTCCACAAGTTAAAGGTCAAAGCGGGCACTTTCTGAAATATCCCACTCCTAACCAAGGAAATTGCCCCGTCCAGGTCCTGCTCACTTCATTATAAATTTATCTGGGTATCCGCATTGAAGGACACACACTATCACTTCAACTCTCAATACTTATGCCAACACATTATGATCAAAAATCATGTAGAGGAGTAGACCGTAATAGTATATAGTCTTGGCCAGAACACCTGAAGTCTACGGTTGATTTGACCCCCCGCGCCAAGCATCAGCCTCCCTTGACGTGGTCGCAACTCGCAAGTCTCCCGTCTCCATCCTTGCCTTCTTCCTCAGCGGACTAAAAAACGCATAAATCTCTGGTACGAGGCATATTACAGCTCGAATCTTGCCATGACAACCAGAAACCTGAATAAAACCTGGCGCGACGTTGTCTTCGCTCAATATGCCGCTGACTTTGACGCCGATGTTCCATTCCCCGTTCGCTATCTGATCAACGCCGATGTGTGGAAGAAAGATATTTTTATCGAAATTCCAACCAAAATCCCCGTCGAGACCTTGCGCCGCTCCGTCTTGACTTTCGTCCGCGTAAAACGCCTTGATTCTGACCCGGCTTACCGAGACGAGAACATCTCCGTTAGAGCACGTGTATCTTATCTAGAAAGACAAGTCCAAGAAGCTAACAAGCAACATGATGACCTGGGATCCGGATCACAGGATCCTCCCACTGTCGCTGGCGATGCTCAGGACAGTCGCTAGACTGTGGGAATCTATCGTCTCGTTGACGGGGACGGACGGACCGCATTCATCAGCACACCAGCGTGGGTGTCAGCGATAGGTCCAGCTCCTGTATAATAGTCAGCACAAGTGCTAGGGCCAGACTGTTCCAATAGTCCGATATAAGTTTTGCTATGTCAAAACCTTGGTCTACGCTGCCTGGCAAAGTAACCGCCCTAGGGAACCAAGCTACTCAAAATTCATGTTTGTGAGACTGGGTAGAGCGCTATATTATTTGTTCAAGACATCGGTGTTGGGAAGATCCTGCCATTCCCATCGCACACGTGAGACAGGTACATTATATATTCGTCGATTTTGATAGATCAGAGCTATCGATCGCCCTAATAGTGGATACGCCGTGCGAATATAGATCTGCATGATGAGATGTATGGGTGGACCGATCGCTGTAATTAAGCCAGACCAACCTAGGTTACAGTCCGGGGAAGTTTAACCTTCTATTTGGGCTCCCGAGATGGCCTCCGGCACAAAAAAGGTTAATGACTGGCAATATTCGGAATATGCATAACACATTGTGACAGGTCGCTTGGCCAATGATTTTATAAGCCTAGATTCGCACGATGATGACGCGGCGATGGGAATAGCTAGAGAGATCACCGAGGAAATGGTGATCAGCGTAAGTCTGAACAGACCAACACTTCTGCACCTGGCACGAGGGTAAAAGATAGAACGGCCTTTATGGAATTCTGGGCAGCATTCTCCAGACCACAGGGTATTACATGCAAACTTTCCATGTAGTCCTGTCCAACGAGGAGACGTGAGCATGCCGAGTACTGGCACTAAGTGGTATATGCATCAGCAAGGCAGTTCTTCACGAGCCCTACCGCGTGTTTTCCTTGCTTCGTGACACGAGCCCAATCGGGTGGATCTGCAAGGTATACTGTACATTACCCAGCAGGCAGGCATTTTTCCCAATGGTGGGCTACTTCTCGCACATTAACCTTATTTCACTGACGATTCAGGAACTCCGGCCCGAAGACCGATTTCCCGCTGCAGAACCCACGCAGCCTGTTTTGGATAAATAAGCTTCGTCATGGCCAATCTGCAGAATGATTGCCGCGTGGAATGCGGGGAAAGGGAGCTATCCTGGGCTAAGCAATACCAGTGTTTGAGAAGGTCTCACTTCTCAGTTCTCCATTTGTCCGAGCGTTATATAGAATTTAGCCAGAATTGCTTGCCCTGCTGGGATGACAGCCGGGTAATCAGCTTCCTGATGATAAAAGCCCGCGCAGCCCATTGATCCAAATGTATTATGTTTCTCTGACCAGTGCTTGAGAGAATTGCCTGATCTTCTGAACGACATTATGAGAGCTCTATCTCTTTTCTTAGCCCTCTTCTGTCTCCTGGGTCTCTCCTCTGCCTCCCCGGGGCAAGATGTGGTCAAGCGAGTCACCAGCGGATCGCTTCAGCAAGTGACTAACTTCGGATCTAACCCCTCTGGCACGCTCATGTACATCTACGTCCCTAAGAACCTAGCCACTAAGCCTGGAATCATCGTTGCTATTCATTACTGTAGGTGGAGCACACCAAATGTGCAACTAGGTGCGAGCGTTGCTGACACTATCAGGCACCGGCACCGCACAAGCATACTATAGCGGATCCCCCTACGCACAGCTGGCTGAGCAGTATGGCTTCATCGTCATCTACCCTCAGAGCCCCTACAGCGGTACCTGCTGGGACGTCAGCTCCCAATCCGCCCTGACCCACAATGGCGGCGGCGACAGCAATTCCATCGCCAACATGGTTACCTGGACCATCAGCCAATACAACGCTGATACCAGCAAGGTCTTCGTGACAGGTTCCAGTTCTGGAGCCATGATGACGGTGAGCATCACACAAGAAACAAATCAAACCTCATACTAACTGTAAGGATGCAGAACGTCATGGCCGCCACCTACCCCGAACTCTTCGCCGCCGCAACAGTCTACTCGGGGGTCTCCGCCGGCTGCTTCTACTCCTCCTCCAACCAAGTCGACGGCTGGAACAGCAGCTGCGCCCAAGGCAACGTCATCAGCACCCCGGAGGTCTGGGGCGGCATCGCCAAAGCAATGTACCCGGGGTACACGGGCTCGCGTCCCCGCATGCAAATCTACCACGGCAGCGCAGATACCACTCTCTACCCGCAGAACTACTACGAGACCTGCAAGCAGTGGGCAGGTGTATTCGGATACAACTATAACTCGCCGCAGTCGACGCAGAGCAATACCCCGGAGGCAAACTACCAGACTACTATCTGGGGACCGAATCTGCAGGGGATCTTTGGAACGGGTGTCGGGCATACGGTTCCTATTCACGGGGCGAAGGATATGGAGTGGTTTGGGTTTACGGGGGGTTCGTCTACGACTACGACCAAGTCTACTACGACGAGCACGACGACGTCCGGGGGGTCGTCGACTGGCACTGGGGTTGCGGCGCACTGGGGTCAATGTGGAGGGAATGGGTGGACCGGGCCGACCGTCTGCGCGAGCGGGTATACATGCACGGTGATAAATGCGTGGTATTCCCAGTGTTTGTAGTGGTGTACTACATATCAGTCCTGATATCCGTGTCATCCTGAAAGCCAGGTCGAGGAAGGATATATTCAGAACTAATGATGTTACTACATATTTCGAGCACCCTGCGTTAACAACTCCTTCAACGGCCCAGTAAACCTCCCTCTCCCTCTCACGGCCCAGTCACAAATCAACAGGACACTCACACCAAGAAACACCGGACCGCTGTAATTCATATTGGTCGCCGTCACAGGGATCTCAGTCGGAAACGACACAAAAGTACAGATGAAGATACCAAAAACGATAGCGTAGATGTTGATCGCCAGACCCCATCCGCCAAGAGCAAATGGGCCAAATGCAATCGGCTCCTTTCGGATGCGTTTCCGCGCCATCATGGCGATGGGGATAATGTATGAGATGAAAAGCGAGCTGGTGGTGAGAGCGAGGATAGCGCTGAGGGCGGTGGTTGAGGCGATGTTGACGAGAGAGAGAACAATAACGGTGAAGCAGACGAGGCAGATGGCGCGGATAGGGATGTGGTATGTCGCGTCTACGTGAGCGAAGAACTTGGAATACGGTAGGCCTCCGTCACGCGCAAAGGCCCATGTGAGGCGGGAGACGGATGCGACGACTGCGATGTTGGAGACGAAGCCGATGAGGGTGATGGCGGACTGCATTGCTGTTGTTGCGTGGACGGACCCGGTGGCCTGGTAGAACATGGCGATGATGGGGAAGCCGGTTGGAGAGTGTAAGATTGCGTGAATGTCTCCGATGCAGAACAGCATGACCAGAATGAAGCCGAATGCTAGAGTGCCGTTGATGACAATGGTTTGGATGAGAATGCGAGGGACGACGGTGGCCGGGTTGTGGACTTCTTCGGACATGTGGATGGCGCCGTCGAATCCTGCATATGTCAGTGCAAGTTCATGTAAGCGACGGATATCTTACCAGTGAAGCAATATGTGACTGTCAGCATTCCCAGACACCAGGAGACGCCGTCGCTACTCCATCCACCCTGATTCAGCAGCTCTGTGAAAACAAATTCAGGTGTACTCCGTGGTGACAACAGAACCAGAGGAACGATCAGAACAATAAAGAATACAACATGCATAAGACCGCCTAGCAGCTGAAGTAAAGGCAAGACTCGAACCGCAAACACATTGATGGTCAATGAGAAGAGCATCACCGCCCACATGAGCAAGGTGCCATGCCATCTTTGTGGTTCATACTCCGGACGGTTCAGGATGATGAGGCCCTGGATTTGGGTGGCCACGAGGAAGCTGATACTAGTAACGGCGGCCTGCCATCCAAACACCGTGATCCAACCTGCGTAATAGGTCAGTGATTGTCAGTCGGCTTTGCTTGTAATCATACCTTGCATCCAAGTGCTGAATGCTCTGATTCTCGGCGGCGCCAACAGCGCGGTCCAGTGGTACTGTGCTCCCGCCAGCGGGCATATCGAAGCCATTTCGCCCAGCGACAAGGCCAGTGCCATTGTTCCTGTCATTGACAGTAGCATTCCCCAAACCAGTGCTGCAGGGCCTCCATTCATCAGACCAGGAGCGAATCCACTATACAAGCACAAATTACTGGCAGCTCAGGCATAGGTGGCTGTTGACGTACCTGGCGATGGACTCCCACGATGCTAATAGCGTGACTGACAAAGCCAGGATGGAGAGTGAACCGAATTTCCTCTTTCATGGGCATTAAATTAGCGACGATGTCACTCACTACGAGGTGCTCGGTCGTACCTCCATGCGTTGCTTTCCACTGGTATTGTTCGACGACGTGCCCCCGCCACCGACGCTGTTGCGAAGGCCCTTCCTATCGCTCGTCTCATGTTGATTTCTCAGCTCCAGCGCATATTCCCGAGCGACTTTTGTCCCGAAAGGTGACAGCTCAATTGTATCCGCCGGCATGATGACTCTTAACTTTCATCGAACCTTCCAGGATATCAACTTGAAGTACGGAGTAATGCATATGTACATTACAGACAAGGATGAGGGGATGGTCAGGGGAAATGCACTCCACGTGAAGATGGCCGACAAAGAAAGTAAAGTAATTTCAGCCGAAGTCAACTCTAATCTGGTTGGTTCAAAGGGAGGACACTATTAATTAGTTTGTTAAGGCTCCTTGAGGCCCTCCGGAGACACCCATGTCTGTCTCGCTTTAGACTGGTGGTTTTAGAGCTTTGAAATGTCCTGTGTGATACGCAGTTGGTAATATTAACGAAACAGGATGCAAATATGGATCTGTCAAGCCATATAATTTTAATTGACTTTTTCGTAAGCCCGTCAAAAGTGCTTAAACCACGTTTCCACTGTGATTAATCAAAAGGCCAAACCAATTGGTGTTTCAGGGCTGGATGGAGGTGTGAGCACGCTTACAGATACCTCTTCAGAATAGCGTGTCCAGACTGTCAGATTGGCTCGTGTCAAATGCAAACCTTGTCCACATGCACGATGTAACGTTGACTCCGTAGTCTATCATTTGGTTCGTGGACAGGGCCGAGGTCCGACGGACTCCAGACCAATCGTAAACAATAAAACATGCCACTAAATGCGGATTAGAGCTTCAAGGATAAGCATTGGCGAAAGGATTGGCAAACAGCCTGTCAAATGTATAGAAATGGCTTAGCTTGGAGCCAAGTTCTACATACTCTACATGTTTGATTGGGCCGTGCTTTTATAACTTTCCCTATTGCTATCAACATACCCAGACCTATCAGAGACCGTGCGACGGACTACGAACTATTTTTCTGGTGCTGTCAGTGCGCCCGTGATATCCTTCCGGTTTCGCATATATTTCTCTGCTGATGATCGGCTTGCATATGTGCTTCATAAACTGACATGGCAGGCACGTTACCACCATTGTTCCCCATCTCAGATGAGGACCACGGCGGGTATGTCGCGGTCACTGTCTATACCCTACTAAGTTTGACTGTGGCCACTGTCTTTGTGCGACTCTTTACAAGATGGTATATCGCAAGAGCTGTCTACTCGGATGATATCTTGCTCGCGGGCGCCACGGTATGATGGTCCCCTTGCCGCAGCTTATTCCTGCAAGGTCTAACTTTGATCGACTACGACAGGGAGTAGGAATTCTCCAGAGTGCGCTTGTTCAGCTATCCATTGATCATGGTCTCGGCAAGAAGATGCGCGTGGTTTCAACCAACGACTTGACCTCCTTCGACAAGGTGACAATTCATTCGGACCGCACAGGTGTCTGTGAAGGCGACTAATAGATCCCCAGTACATGTACGGAGCGCAAATCCTCCTGCTTGCAACTGCCGCCTGCAGTAAATTCTCCCTGGCACTACTTTTCCGCAGTTTGACAGCCCAGGGCAACGTTTTGCGGCTTAGCCAGGGCTTGATGGCGGTAATTGGATTATGGACATGTTCCTCAATCGTGGCTGTGGCATTCCAATGCGCTCTGCCTCATCCATGGGATATCACAGGCCGTTGTGTCAATCGGGTGAGTGATGGAATCATGTATGCTCACGGGCTCCATTGATAACGAATCAATCAGGAAGCACTGGCAAGTTGCATCTGGACTATGAATATTCTTACCGACGCAGCACTGGTTTTCCTCCCGTGCATCGTGCTCCAGAAAGTCCAGATCAGCGGGTTGAAGCGACTCCGGATCATGGCCATGCTCGCCACTCGGTTGATGTACGCAACGCAGTCTCTACTTCCGCGTAGTCGCTGAAGCTGACAGTTTCCAGTGTCTGTGTAGCGACAGGGATCCAAATGCACTACGTGCATATTGCAGTTAGTTCGCCTGACCGGACATGTAAGTAGATCGATCATCCCAATCCGTGTACAAAACAGGGTACTAATCATGCACAGGGGCAAACATCAACTCCACTATATGGGATCAGTAAGTAGTCAGGCCAAATGAGTGGTGAGTATCGCAAGTTAACCAGAGCAGAGTGATGATGAACCTCAGCATCATCACCACAGCCATCCCATCGCTCGGCCGCCTCATGATCGAACTCCAACCGAGTCACAATGCATTCGCTATTACTGAGCGCCATGGCTTTTCGGGTGACAAATATGCCATTTCGTCACTTTCCGGCCACTTTGTACGCGATCATACTATCAATGACGGGCTGGGAACTCATGCGTCAGTCCATGGGCAACGTCAAGGCCGGAACGACGATTCCGAAAGTACCGAGGGTCTAGTTGGTGATGGAACGGAAGGTAAGATTACAAAAACAGTGTATTTTGAGGTCAAGTGAGACATAAATATATGTACCCTAGCAATAATAGTGACCTTCAGAGCATGCATACTACGCAGGCGCGGCGGACAGTGGCCAATCAGCTCTTCTGCTACTCCACGGGCTTTCTATTAGTGTGACTATTGACCTTGGCGAGACATACTTTCTGGAGTGTTCTAAGCCTTGGAACGTAGCCAATGGCTATTGAGTGAACAGATGACGAACCCTGTGCATTAGACGCGGAAGGGCCAATATAAAATTCGCAGATCGCACCAAATACAGACAAATGGGCCTGTAATGCCACATAGTTCATCTTAGATGCTGATCGATCTGCAATATATGCTGATCCACTCGATCTATCAGCAGAACACTCCCAAAATAGGCAGAAAGTGGAGCTTTCTCCTTCAATGTGATATTGTAAAATAGATTGCTTGTTAGCTACTGTAGAGTAGATCGTTTATGACTAGCCCACAGACGATCTTTGCAGTTGGGGAGGTCATTGTTATATAATCTGCTGCTTCCTCGGAATAAAGTCACACTCTGTATTCAGTTTACCTCCAAGCCGAAAAGCCAACTCCTGAACACTACGCCATGAATCTGCTTTCCCCCCCGTAGCATGGAGCTCTCTGCTCTCCTCCTAGCTGCTGTCTTTGGTATGCCAACGGGAAGGGCGATAATGGGGGCAGCGATGTGTGGGTTTATGGAACGCTGCTCTTTGCTAGACCCGCGTGGTGCTCTCCCGCCGTGGATGTTGACCTCGACTGCAACCCGCACTACCGCTAACATTCCACATATATAGCGGAGGTACTCCTCATGATCGTAACGAACTCAACGCACTCTGTGGAGAGCAACAGAAAGACGCTTTCTGTTCCATATTCGATGGTGAAGACCGTTCCCTCGTAGTAGATAAAACATTGTTCCATATTATTGGCTCTGTGTACAACACGGGGTGACGTGCTTATAACATGCGAACCCCTACCGAAATAACTGATGGCAGCTGGGAACATATGAGGGAGAGGATGAAACGACAGGGATGATCTTAGATATGGGCTCAAGATGAAGTCAGGTATTTACTTGATTCATACTGCGAGCCAATGGACGGTGCTATAACTTGGTTCCCGCTTCCATGAGCCACTCACTGCACAAGAATGATTCGGAAAGCATACAAGCCTTAATGTTATGTACAGCAGCTGAGGGTATCCTTCTACTGGAATATCCACGTTACCCATCTACAGCTGACAGTGGCCAGTCAAAGCGTCTATTGCTCCACGGGGTCTGCTAGTGGGACCAAATGATTCACATGGTCAGGGCGTTCGCGCTGTATGACTACCATGCCTATCTGAGGTGAAAGCACAATTCCTTGGAGTATTCTGGTTCTTAACCTTGGCCAATAACTAGTGATTGACCAGATGGCGAGACTTATACATTAGACGCCGACCGATTGCCAACGTATATACCTTATAAGATGCGCCGACCGGATAAATAGAGTCAGAGAGCATGTGAACCTTAGCTGGTGATAGAATGACGCGAAGTACGAGTTATATAAACAGTTTATTTGGAAGTCAACTGAGAGATATAGAGATATGTACTCTCATATCGAAAGCCAAGACTAGGTCGGACAGGTCTGTACGGGTGGCAGAGGTTGGTCTTACTCTTTTGCAGTCTTCTAAGTGTAGCTGAGCTACTCTCATAGGCTACCATGATGCAGCGACTACCAACATTAGCTCCCAAATTACACCGCCCGAGACTTCATAAAGTCAACAATAACGGGGATATCTTCCATCAATGTCGCCCCCTCCGGAGTCCACCCCAGCCTCTCTCTCGTTTTCGCACTCGAGGCCACATTGTCAGCCACGGCACCAAACCAGAACCAGCCAAAATGCTCCTCTGCCTTCTCCGGCGGGATACTGACGACGGGAACATCCAACTCTTTCCCGACCGCAATCGCAATCTCCTTCATTGGCACACCCTCATCACCCACCGCATGGAAGATCGACCCAGGCGCGCCCTTCTCCGCCGCAAGCCGGAATAGCCTCGCCGCGTCGTCGCGATGACCAGCACACCAGCGGTTCTCGCCATCTCCCAGGTACGCCGCGACACCCTTCTGCAACGCAACGGTCACAAATGGGCCCATGAAACCCGAGGACCCGAGGCCGTGCGTCGTAGGCGGGAGCCGCACAACGCTAGCCCGCACACCCTGCTTAGCAAAATCAAGACAGACCTTCTCCGAGGCCCCGCGGGCGGCAGCCATTGGGTTGGTCATGTCGGGAGCATCATCTTCGTCACCTAGCTTGCCGCGCGGGAGCAACATCGTGCCGGAGGTGATGACCAGGGCGCGGTTTCCGCCTGCCTCAGCTAGAGCGGAGCCCATGGCGGTGATGGCGGTGCGGTCCGTGGCGCAGGAGCCAGCGTAGTCAGCGAAGTCGTGAACGAAGGCGAGATGGATAACGGCATCACATTCGGAGGCGGCTTTCTTTAGGAGTTCGAGATCCTCAATTGTACCGTGCAGGGCTTGGGCGCCTTGCTTTTCAAGTTGCTCGATTCCGGCCTCGCTGCGGGTTAGGCCGAGGACTTTGTGTCCTGCGGAGAGGAGCTCCTTGACGACGGCTGAGCCGATGAAGCCGGTGGAGCCGGTCACAAAGACGCGCATAGTGAGTGAGATGGGGTAGGAACTTGAAGATAAAATTGATGTTTCTATCTAGCGGGGGGGATCTTGGTTGACTCTGAGAAATTCTACTCTGCTTCATCCCTAGGATGTTGCTGGAATTTATATGTCTGTCGCCTGTACGCACTCCGTAGTAGTGATGGATATTCTTGTGTTCATGCGCGACTGTATACAAGCTTGACCCGCCAGGATTGGTCAGTTATGGCCTGGCTGGACTGATATGCCAACTAATGTGGGACATGATGATGACTGCAGCCAGTGGCGCCCAATCATCAGGGTCCAAGTCCGAGCAGAGGCTAGGGCGTTCGGATCAGCCTGCGATCCGGCAGGCCGAGGTACCGGATGAGGCGGGTCCGGGCTAGCATAGCGCCTAAAAGCCATCTCACTTGATGTTTTACGACACAGCTCCTGTCCACAGCGCATCGAACTCTGGCAAGTCAGCGTACTACGTGTGCCAAACCTATCGGTCAGCCGTCCTCAATCCAGACCAAGCATGAATTCGCGTTTCTCAGCAGTCGGAAAGAAGAATGACTGCTGAGCGCAAGTCGCGGTCGCGCTTTGGCCGCCGAAACTGGAAATTGAGAAAACTGAAGTTCGGTTGAGACGTACGCTCACTACGGATGCCACGGAGCTGAACGATGGGAGCTTTACTTCGTAGTGTGACGAGATAAGACCGCGTTACGTGAGATGTCGTACGTATGGTGTCCTCTGCAACTTCAACATACCTGATCTCCAGCCGCTCCCTGAGCACCGAGTAAATCAAGCGACAATCCAGCGATGTGGAATGTCATCGCTGCAGGCACCTATCAGTAACGCCATATGGGCCGACGACGGAACGACATCATTCATGCTTGGTCCACAAGATCGAGAGCTCTTCAACCGGTTTCGTCACCGAACCCTGTTCTCCCTCGGTGATTCGGGAATGGTAGGGGTCTATCAAAATCATTTGCTGAAACTCTGTTTTGCTGTGAGTCTAATAACCGAGAGATGTTCACTACTGGGATAAACTGACGAATTATAGTGCCCATTCCTGACGCACGGTACCCTGGCAGTGACGGCTGTCCATGACCGTTAACTGGGCGTAGTACCAACTCAACGTCCGTCCTTACGGGAATCATATCACCTGTCTCAATGCAGGATGTTATACAACGAGTGGTTGAGCCAAGCTATCAAGGAAGAGCACAAGGATCCTCTGTGGGCCACAGCTGGCGCCCTTGGCATCTTGACCTTCCCGTCCATCAACGCTGGTTCTCCCAAACAAGCATGGCCTCTCGTAGCATCGGACGCCTCCAACCTAGCGTGGATACATCTAGGGGCTAGGAAGATGGATTTGTGTAATCTGGTAAATCCTACGCGACCCGGAGGTGCCTTGTGTCATGACCGAACCTTTGCATATCTCCATTATCCGTTGCGTCAGAAAGGCACAGATGGCGTATTGGTTGAACTAATGCAACTATGCGCCCTTGATTAGTTCTCAGCGCAAGAGACTAACTCTTACTTTCTCCGTTGCACATGCTCTCTCTCGGCTGTTGGGGGCACCGAAGGGGGCGGCTTCACAAGGCGCTGTCATCTTGGTCTCCAGTCACATGGATAACAGGTTTGGAGTCCTCTTTGAGAAGAAGGATCCTGTAGCGCTTCTGCTACTATCCTTGTGGTATACCAGAGCCCGGGAAAGTAAATGGTGAATGGATATCCGTGCTAGGACTGAGCTTCCGGCGATTTGCACCTACTTGCGGCGACATCATAGTGAGAACAGCATCATCCAGGGACTTATACCTGGAACAGTCTAGAGGTACCTATTACGAAACAGTTCTCTTAAAGTAGTATTAAGAATGCAGCCTTAAAGGATACTATTAAAGAAAGATAGGGCTTTATAGAAAAAGCCCAAGAGTTAAAGGATCTTAGCCAGAGTCATATCTCAGGCTCTTAATATGATTTTTTAAGAGAAGTAAGGACTATATCTAGTAGTTACTACTCTATTAACTCTACTTTCACTCTAGTAAGCTTCTCTTAGTAACCTAGATTATAAATAAATAACAAGCTCCCTATGTTAGACATTACATCTTCTACGTAATCATAACTCTCTCTCATTTAGGTGCAGCTATATTGTGCAAGAGCCTGCAGGGGCTCTCTGACTCTTCTCAGTTTCCTGATGGTCTCCCGAGTACTAGACAGGATAGAATCTGGGCCAGGGTCTCCTACCAAGCACCGCCGTTCTATGGCGTTCAAGGGGACATAAATTTCTTTCTGGGTATGATATATGAACATATAGCTCAAAAGGCTTGCACAAATTTGAGTTCTAGTGCCATAAGTGAAACATCCTAGAGTAGTTGACCACGCAAGAGGCATTTTCTATGTTGATTTACAATTTATGATTAGATATTCATGGTTATGTCATCATATGAAGGGATCTGACATGGGGAGGCTGGCTCAGAAGGCGTCCAATGAGAGGAATGCCATCTTGACACTTGTGAAAATCCTCTTCAGAGAAAACCAGGCACGTGAAGTACCCATTGAGAGAGAATACAGATAAGGGGTATCTGATTATGTGAATCAACTTATTGGAATGAATACATTCTAGAACAGCTGTCTCATACTCAATCGGGCAATGAGAGATGTGCATGTTACTGAGTGCTCCACGGCTAATTGTAGCTGCGGAAACACTTGCAGGGCAGAACCCACGCCTGTTTTGCGGCTGGGGTAGCGCTGCGGCGCTAGGCTTTAGACTCCTTACCAGTACGGGCAACCCATCATTGCTATGGAGTACTGCCGCCTGGTGGCTTGCGGATGAGCAAACAATTGGGAACAATGAACCCACGGCCGTTTAAGTTCCTGTCTTGATGAGATCTAAGTCTCAAGCTCGAGTCTATCCTAGGTTTCTTTGCCTCGTGGCATGTAATTTCCTCTATAAAATTAACCGAGTAGTATTGGCTAATAAGCACACGTGCTTCGTTCCAAGTGGCTGGCTGAGACGAGGGGTCATCCTGACCACGCCCAAAAAAAAAAAAAGAAAGACGACGAAAAGAAATGTCTCGTCTTGGATGGGGTCTGCTCCAGATTGTTGCACGTTGCCGAGTACCTGGCCCTTACACCTTCTATCTCCAGCATCGACATTCACCTTTATATTCAAGGTCCTACTTAACCAGCTAAAATGGCGTCTGACGCCGCCTCAGGACAGCTCTCTGACCATCATTTTCTAGATGGCCTGGTTGAGCCTGGAATCCAAGCAACGCCCTCTAACCTTTCATTCGACGAGCCGAGCAAGAAGAATATCGCGTGCTTTCCCGTAAAAGACCAATGGTTCCGAGGCCCGTCCAGCGGGCCCTATGTATCGGTCTACGTGCTTGATCCCCTCATTACCGTAGAACGACACCATGGTAAGTACCACATCACCGCTCGATTCAATCTCGAAACTACTATTCTGGACTATAATATCAATAAGGGGCATGAGCTCGACCTTTCCTTAATCTGTCTTCCTTTAATGCATGCGCTAACTTATGTAGATCTGGACATGAGCTCTTCTTCCAGGACATCTGTCTACAGTATATCAATACTTCCGGCGATGAAGAGCTCACCACGGAGCCGCAGTCGGATACAACAGGGGCTTTCACTGTGGCCAGATCCTCGAATACGACACTCTCGGGAAATCTCGGCGTCTCGCTCTCCCAGGTTCCGTCGGCGAATATCTCCCTGGGCATCTCGCGGTCGAGAGAATGTACCATCGAGCGCATTGTCAACACGTGGACGGTTAGCTCCCATCGTGTCATCCCAGGTCAGCTACTCTGTGGTTCAGCTACAAAAATATGGACCTGCTGACATGACCCTTCTCCAGAGAACTCCAAACGCCGCCGCAAACCTGTACAGCTCCCCAGACACCAATGGTTCTGGGCGGCGAATCATAAAGATATCGCGACTCTGACCCCAGACCTAAAACACACCGTGAAACGACATATCCTTGTAAAACGCGCGATACCGGTCGCGGACTTTCCGGTCAGGAGACTGGAGAGCGCTAGAGACGTCTTGCGGGCCAAGGCCTGGAGAGAGCAAGCGGCGCGCTCGGATGCAGAGCCGTTACAACAGCTGTCTGCTGACCACTCCGTCCACTGGAAAGGACATAACGCGTGGGAAGCGCTGCTAGATGACTGGAAGAGGAAAGATGGGCGAAGGTCGCTGGAGCAACTGCTTGAGTTTCGATTTTCTATATTAGTATGACATGACCTAATCCCTCCTCACAGTAGCCAACATCAGCGAGCACTAGCCCCATCATTCATGTTCAGAACCCGCCATAACCCAACATCAAGGCATTAACTCGACTTCTCGCAACAGATCCGACTACGAAGGCGATACGGCCGGCTGCACCGCGCGCTGGTGCTAAGCAGCAACCCCAACAAGGCAAAGCTGGTGGAACCCATATATCGGGATAAGTTTTCCATCCGGCCGCCGTTCACACAAGAGTTCATGCCCACATCAAGTCATTCCTCCATGTGGCGACCTGGCCAACCGCCCAATTTTCCTTCAGAGAGGTACTTACACAGCATGACGAGCATTCCCATAGAGGATACGTGCGACCTGCGAGATGCGCTTGGAAGGATAAAGGCTAAGGTGTGTTTTTCCGAGTACATTAAGGGTGTTTAGCGACGGTGGGTGCTAATGTGTGGATACATGGTAGTACGATGGGAGGTGGGATGAGCTGTACACTCGAGACTGGGCCGATCTCGTGCAGGATGAGACACAGATGGGAGTGGTTGAAGCGGATGGAATCGTCGATGCGGCGGCAGAGGTAACGGCGGAGGCAACGGCGGAGGCAACAGCGGACGCAATGATGGAGGTAACAGTGGAGGCGGGATAACTGTGACAACGCATAGGTTTTGAGGTTCCGCAGAGGGGACCGGCAAGGGAGATTTCGCACTATAACGGAGAGGAAGAGTAAGATGCTATATACTAGCATCCTATAAGATAGCTCTGTTTTTGCTGTGCGGGGTGTGTGATAAAAGAGCTCATGATGGCTTTGCATGTCGCGGCGGCTGCCTTAATCATAAGGCGCTGATAAGGTAGTAAAGGCGCTTTAATGGAACCTTGCACCGTCGGCGCCTTCTGGCCGGCCTTTGAGATTGCAAAACTTAATGATGGCACAAAGGCCATCACACTTGCTATTTGGGTCTTTAAGATAAAGAGCTTAATAGCATGGTAGCGCACTGAGTCTGGGAGATCAGCAGCTGAAATGGATTTGGAAGGTTACTCTAAAAAGTCTGCTCACCTTTTTATAGAGTGGTTAAACCCGACCCAAAATCCGACCCTAACCCAGCCCAAACCCGCCGCTTTCAAGAGATAATTATCCAATCCTGTCATTCCATGTGTTTACAAAATGTAGTCTCCAATTCAATGCTATCGTTATGAGCCAAGAAGGAGGTGAAATGTGTCTACTGTCGTCCAGGACTGGGGCACAAGAAAGAACCTTGATTTCGATTCATGGGAACGTCCTTTATATCTAGAAGCAGCCCTTGCCGGACTTTATATAACACATCTGGCATACTCTCCATAATACCCTTGTGATAATAATTCCAGATAAATGGTCACTCCCACCAGTCAGAATGACTCCATTGGTTGGTCTTCCCTAAAAACCTAGGCTGGATCCCCAACTCACTGTACACATTTTTGATCCGATCCATCGCCTTCTCATCCTCTGGTGTCTCATCATCATCATCAGAATCATAACACCGAGTTATATGAGAACGGAGAGAGACCACGATATCAAAGTCTACTGTCTTCCCCATCAGTTGTTCCATCTCATCCCAGATTGACAGCCCGCTCTGCGGGATTCGTCTCCACCATATGACACGCTTCAGTCGACAAGTCGCAAAGCGGACATCGTCGCCGAACAACAGCGCCTCGAAGAAATCACCCATCCGCAAGCCATCTGCGAGCCCTCTTGGATCTCCCTGCCGTGTTGATTAGTGCCTTGCTCATATCTCTCGGTGGGTCTTGCAATCACCGACAGGAACCTCAAAAAACGAGTGGCTGAATCCGTATCCCCCAGTCGAATATCGACACACTGCAAAGTTGCACATTGGCGGCTGTTGGAGCAGCATCCGTCGCCAGCTTGCTTCTGGCCGAAGATACGCCGCTAGTTTGGTGGGAGTTTTCATCATGTCGAAGGCGGCGAGGGTGGGTTCATCGTATTCATAGTCGTCTTCCGGGCTATCGGGGTCGGTGAGTCTGAAAAGGGCTGGAAATGCTTCTCTCAATAAGGGGTTCTGGACTTTGCTTTGGTCGGGTGTATTTTCTATGGGTGTGAAATATAGGGCTTTTTGTATAGGCGACGAGTCTCGGATCATGCTTAGCCAAGAGCGGCATGTTCGTTGAATGTAAAGCAGCGTGCGCATGTCCAGATTGAGCAGAATCATCTCTAGGATTTCGGGAATCCCGAATGCTGCGTGTGTTGAGGACGGCATCTTTGACGCCTTGGAAGAATTGGTGTTGGTTGCAATGTAGAGGTATGAAGACTGGCTTGTAAGCTTGCTAGTAGTTTATTAAAGATATTAACGAAGCACTAATAACAATGTTGTTAACTTGTTATTTATGAGTCATAAACAAACTAGTTGCTAATAGTGCAGAAATAAGTCCTTCGCTAATGAATATGATTCGTCCAATGTGCTGAGATATCTTGGGAGTGTTTCAAGAAGAGTACATCTAGTCATACAAACTAGTCATACGTCAACTGCATGAAAGAACATAATGAGAGCATGTCTTTTGTTTTTAAAATGTGAGCCCTGTCTGTTAATCATTAGTCGGGTGCTGTACGCTGATATATATAGTAGTAGTACTCTGGAGGCTGTAAGCTAAACATCCTGCTGTCCTTAGTCCCCATCGAGGTATTTAGAACTTAGGTAATAGATTATAGTAGTTCTAGTCTGTTTACTCTAAACTAAGCTAGATGCGAAGCTAATCTTAAACTTATAGTTATGATGCACCTCATCAACTATATAACTAGGTGGGGGATTGCTACGAACTAATGGGTAATAGGCAAATACGTAGCTTGGCTCTGCCCGCAGACCCACAAAACCCGCAACAAGCTTCGGCGATTAATAATATGCAAGAGGTTCGGTTGATTCGGAGGCCGAGCTGACTGAGACAAGCCACAGCTCTGATGGACCCTTAGGTTGTCTTGATAATCCTCGACAGTGCGAAGACCGAGTCGTGACAATCATTTGTCATACTAGAGTGATGAGGGCAATGTCAAGTCATGTATAGCTTCAGGGCTGATGATAAAAGGAGGATATTATCCTCAGGAGACATGTCCATCAACAAGATCTTCAATTGCCAACAACTCAACTTTCATCGACTATCATAGCCATCAATTTACCAAAATGTCCAAAATCCTCACTGTCTTCGGCGCGACAGGAAAACAAGGCGGTTCTGTCATCCGCACAATCCTGCAGGATGCAAAGCTCTCCCAGGAATTCAAGATCCGCGGTATCACGCGTGACGCCACCAAGCCGGGAGCTCAAGCGCTGTCCAAGCAAGGCGTAGAACTCAGAAGTGTACGTTTTACCTGCCCATCAGACCAGACACTGGAAACATACTGACCATCGCCAGGCCGACATGAACTCCAAGGAGTCTCTCATCCAGGCACTACAAGGCAGCCACTCAGTCTTCCTCGTGACTACTCCAGCCTGGGGCGCTGCTGGTGCAGATGCGGAACTTGTGCATGGGAAGAACGTGGCCGATGCAGCAAAGCAAACTGGCGTCCAGCATCTGATCTTTTCCTCCTTGCTCAATGTCACCGAGACATCTGGCGGTCGGCTCAAACATGTACCACATTTTGACCAGAAAGCGCAGGTCGAGCAGTACATCCGGTCTATTGGTGTGCCTGCTACCTTTGTGCTGCCGGGGTATTTCATGACCAATTACTCTGAAATAGGTATGCTGCGCAAGGGCGAGGACGGCGTCTACACCTTGGCCTATCCTGTGGGCCAGAATGCCAAGTTCCCGCTGGTCGATATCGAGAAAGATATGGGTATGTGACATCCATTTGCCAGAGTGTACTGGAATGCGAAGGCTGATGATATCCAGGTAAATACGTCGCTGCGGCGTTGAAGAATCCTTCCGAGTCCCTCGGTGCTCAGATACTCGCCGCCGAAGACTACTACACAACTACGCGAATCCTCGAGGAGTTCGAAGAGGTCACCGGACAGAAAGCTCGGTTTGTTCAGGTGGATTCTGATACTTATAAGAGCTTTATGCCTGGTCCAATTGGCGAGGAGATGCTGGAGAACCACCTCTTTATTGAGAACCCTGGTTACTACAACGGCAGGGATCTGAAAGAGAGCAATGGCTGGCTCGAGAAGGCTGGGTATCAGCCAACAAGCTGGAGAGATTTCTTGGTGCGACACAAGGCCGCATTTCTTCGGTAGTGATGATTTGGTTTGCAAGTGGTAGTGGTATGTAGAAACAATGAGTAGCAGTTGGAACCAATCTCATATGGCCATATTTTTGACCCAGTCGCTTGATGATCACGCATTTACTGAGCGTTTGGAGGTTAGGAAATGAGCTTGTATCAACAATCGTATCATTCTAGCCAATCGTACAGAGCTCTGTCAGGGCAAGTCACAGCTCTATATCAGAATATAGAATTATTAAGTCACGCCCGAAAAGCCAATTATTACCGCCCCTATTAGGAAATTACCCCGAAGGGTACAACGAGGAAACTCTAGGTGTCTTTAGCCTTTGGTTTTCTGGTATGCAGCTCCATGATAGGTACCTCTTTAAATATGTTGGACTCTCCATATCCCGGAGTGGATTAGGATTGTGAGACTCGTGTGACATGAATACCCCAATTCAGAAATCTGCAGAATAATGGGTGCTCAAATGTTCCGAACAAACTTTCTTTATCTTTGGCTGGCTCCAGTAAATGGTGAAGTCGCTGAACTTCGAGATTGTTTCCAACAGTCTCGGAACATCATATTGATATCTCGAAGTGTCTCCGCGGACCAATTTATATACCTAGCCGAGCAATCAGCAGACCATGATGTAGATTCCTTGTGAGACTGGGCAACGTCTCCTATCTATTGCAGTAATGCTTATGGAGTAGCGTCCATACCCCCTACGCTTTTCCTGCCGGACTTTTCTTCTTACTCAGTTCCATGACCTTCTGGCCGAGGTCAACCGCTGAGCCTTAGTAACAATAAAGTCCTTTCTTGCTGCAACTTGCAACCTCCCTTCCCTCTGGAGCCTAGCTATTCGACTTTTGATTCAACATAGTTAAATAAAAACATCGCCCCGCTTCTACTAGCTGGCCATATAGTTTTGACAGGTTGTCGCAATGCTCGGTGCAGACGAAAGAAGAACAGTTCTTATCACAGGGTACGAGCACACTGTCCCTCAGTCCTCCTTCTATATATTACTACTTACTGAATACTATGATCTTATTTAGGTGTTCCCCTGGAGGTATAGGCTGCGCACTTTGCTGTGCATTTAAAGCAAAGGGGCTCCGTGTGTTTGCAACAGTGAGACGACTTGAAGACCTTGCGAGTCTGGAGGCCAAAGGAATCGAGACGTTAGCACTCACAGTTGACGACCCCCAAAGTGTGCAGAAATGCTATGCCGAAATCGAGAGGCGTGTGGGTTCCATGGGCCTAGACTACCTGGTCAACAATGCGTATGTGATCAGCCGCATTCCTCTGGTTTCCCGCTATCATTCAAAGACTGACCGTCCGCTATCGCAGTGGTCGAAGTGAGAGTGCCGACTATCAGAAACCTTTGGGTTTTTTCGTCTATATGCTGATATCATATACCTAGACTACACGGTCCCTGCAATGGAGGTAGACTTGCAGGAAGCCCGGCAGCTTTTCGAGACGAACTTTTTTGCCGTGATATTGATGTCTCAAACATTTCTACCGCTGCTCTTGAAAGCTAAGGGGACAATTGTGCAAATCGGATCAGTATCTGGGGTAAGCACAGCAGGTATATAGCTCTACCTAAGAGACCATGTTGACTGTTTCAGGTGATGCCATACGTCTTCGGGTCCGCTTACAATGCATCCAAGGCGGCCTTGCATTCCTTGAGTGACACGATGCGTATTGAACTGGCTCCATTTGGGTATGTTCTCACTCTCCTCCAGGACTTGCGTCTTGTACTACATTGAAAACTTATCATGTGATGCATGCCTACAGAGTTAAAGTCACCACAGTCATTACGGGAGGCGTCCAGTCGCGAATTGCTCGGGAGGATCGCCAACTGGCGCCAGATTCTCTTTATCATGGCATTTTGCCAGAGTATAATCGCCGGGTTCAACACAGCCAGGAAGGTGCAATGAGCCGCGATGGTTACGCGAAGAGCGTGGTTGCGCAGATACTTCGACACTCCGGTTCGGAATCATACAAGAAATGGATTTGGAAAGGAAACAAGAGCAAGTTGATACGGTTCTTCGTTGGGGGATGGCTTTGGTTTGGTCTCTTTGATTGGATCTTCGCGCGCATGTTCCATTTGAAGAAGTTGAAGAGGGATTGATGATGCTTGGCAATCTATTAAGCAAACGTCGAAGGATGGATGTGACTGTGATTGTCGTTGTATGTATGACTGTAGAAGGAGGTAGTCCAGGATTCCCATAGGCAATGCTGAGTACAGCGTCGAGGTTTGTCCGCGGAGGAACTCGCTCTTTCGGTCCTGCCCAATGAGTGAGAGAGATTGAAATGAGTAGGCCCGGGAGGTGGCAACAACTTTATTTTTAGATCATCCGATTGGTTAATTTTGTTATTGTGGTCAGAAAGCCAGCCATGTCATGTGACATGAACTGTCCATCCCCGCAAAGCCGACGTCTTGCAGCCACGAACACATCATCGAGCACCAGTCTCGAATATGCAGCAATTTGTTTTGGATAAGGCAGAAGGGAGACTCGAATGATAATGTCTCCAGATCCCTCTAGCCGGTCTGACTCGACAGTAGCTCAAGGACCGGTCTCGCAAAGGCTTGGGGCTAGCAATCTGCGAGTATGCGACAGATGCATTTCGTTAGTGGTTCCATCCATACCCCGGATTTCACCTGACTAACCCGACTAACCCTTTTTAGGAGGAAAGTAAAGTGTGAGTGCCATGATGCAGAATTCTGGTATGAGATGAATCATCACTCACCCCCATTGAAGGTGATCAGAAACGACCTGTTTGTTCTCGATGTCATGAAGGAGGTTTTGCCTGCGTTTATTCGTCCTCCAAGAAGAAGCCAGGTCCAGCCAGGGGGACACGAAAAGCAGCGAGGCGCGCTGCCAAGTCCCCAGTGAAGTCCGCTCATTCATTTGTTACTTCTGAGCAGAATGACGAGCATGTGTCTTCATTCTTTTCCGACATCTTTGTTGCTTCTCCGTCGACGGGATTCCAGATGGATGCCGATGCTGGCTTCGCAACGGGTGGTGGTACCTCACAGCCCCAGTCTCTCCTTGCAGGGCTGACACCGCTTGACCCTGCGGCTGGGCCATCTGTGTCCTCGGAGTTAGGGATCTCCCCAGAGATGCAGGCGAAGCTGTAAGTCCTGCCAACAGCCATTCTGGTCTTAGAGTTGATTGACATTGCGTCATATATTAGAGTCCATGACTTCTTCGACTTTGTCCATTATTCCATGCCATTATTTCGGAAAGACGAGTTTCTCCAGCAGTACGAGGATGGAACGATCAACCGTTCTATTCTGCTTACTGTCCTTGCTGTCACGGCAAAGTCTCTCGGCCTACCGCAGGGTTGGCAGGTAGGCAATATCGATGATTGTCTGCAACAACTGTTAAGGAACGACCCATTGGACGGCCCGACCCAGCCGGCCCTGCAGCTAGACGCGTTCCGGCAAAGCTGCCTACTCGCATTTTATCGTTTCCATCAGGGTCATGGTGGGGATGCATGGGACTATATCAGTCGGATCTCCCGCAAAGCCCTCCGATTGGGTCTACATCAGCTAGATTCCACAGATCGGTACAACTCATTTGACGATATTCTGACCACTCCCGCCAACCTGGAAGAATGGAGATACGTTTGGTGGTGTATCTACTGCTTCGACTCGTACTCGAACATTATGGCAGCCACCCCCTTTGTCGTGGAAAAGGAGAGCATCCGGACTGCCTTGGTGGCTACTTCTTTGGAGGGCTCAAGCGATAATTGCGATGGCAGTCCTGTAAAACAGTTCCTGCCTACGGATACTAGAGATCTGTGGCGCATCTCCGCGGAAATGGGCGCTCGCAGTACCCCGGCCTCATATTTCAACATGCATATTGTCACAACGACTCTCCTAAGAGAAGCGGCGGCTATTTTTCGGTTACGGAGGCAGAGCCCGTCAGAAGGTCTCCAGCAGAGACGCTCTCAACTGGCAGATCATCTGTCGGCCGTGCTGCTTTCCCTGCCTCCACAGTTTCTCCGCGAAGCTCGCAACGCCTTTGCCAATGAATCCAGTGTAGACCATCATGCGCGGCTTGTCTGTCTACTTCATCTTCACGCAGCACGGCTTTTGAACACAATCACGTTTGATCCCTCGGACGATTCGGCGTGGATGACATCCTGGGAGCGATCACTGGCCCACTCCGAGGCCATTGTCGCAGTGATCAGAGAATGGGACAGCCGGTACTGTTCGACTGTCGATCCAGCCATCTGTCTCATTGTGTTCTGTACATTGATTCTGCTCTATTTACATGAAATACACGAGGCCACGGCTGGAATGCCCGCACTTTCTGAGCGTCTCCAGGCGGAGAGGAACATATTACTCTTGTTCCTGGAACAGTTTGCCAAAGTCTGGGCTCTTCCCAGCTCACTCAAAGGTGGGTTCCCATAAGCTACTTCTATTTTCGCCTTTACTGTCGTTGTCTACCAAGACATGGCCGAAGTCTGACTTCTACTAGCATCGTTTGAGAAATTCACCAGTGTTGTCCATGGACCCCTCTCCTCCTACGACATTGGCCACGTCCTGATACAAGTGCCTGGACACTTTCGGCCATGGAGGGGACTGCTTGGACTCGCCCCAAATCCGCGAGACCCGCTCACACCGCAAGAACCGGGGATTGACCTTTCCGGGCTTGATTTCTCTTTCGACTTCTTCTCTCCGTTATGATGCTTGCATTTAGTGGCCCAATTGCCGTTGGTAGCATACCTCCTTGCTGGAGCTTTGCCGGTGACGTCCTCCATCACCTCCAATACGATTGCATGCTCTTATGGAGCAAGGATGGGACAATGCGTACTTTATACATCAAAATAAATAATAATATTACATACCAACGAACATGACGTAGACCAGAGGGTTCCTATGTCTGTACATAACGACCGCCATCCTACCTTGCCTTATTATCCCCAAAATCCTTCGGCACCTCAGGGCCCCATATAGACAACGGCCCGACAGGTTCTCTCCGAGTCGGATTGTTCTCATTCACCACGTCTCCGTCCGCATAATGCTCAATCTTGAACCCACTGCTATCATACCAATAATCAAAAATCTGACTGCCCAGGATATGCCGTCCCACACCCCAAACAGACTTCCACCCTTGCTTCGCAAGATACCGGTGTCCCATCAGCTGCTCGTCAAAATCCGCCACTTCGAATGAGCTGTGATGGAGGTATGTCTCACGGACGTTCGGCGGCGCACGCTGCAGGAACAGACTGTGGTGGTCGGAGTACTCCGCCCCAAGATCCAGATGCATGAAAGTCAACACGTCGACGTGCGGGAACTGCGGGAGATTGAGGATATCCGAGTGCACGAAGTTGAAATTCGAGGTGTAAAAGTCCAGCTCGGTGTCGAACTCGCGACACACGTACCCGTAGTGCCCGAGCTTGTGCACCAGCGCGGGTGCCTCGCGGTACCGCTGGAACTGGCCGAGCCGTTTCTTCTGGAAGGGTGTGTTGTAGGGTCCTTGCGACTCATGCGTCGCGGAGGGGGGCTGCTCCGTCGAGGTGTCGACGCTGCGCTCGGTCTGCCCGTACACGACGTGGAAGAAGGTGCCGTTTGGCCGGGCGAAGGTGATCAGCTTGCCACCGCCCGGGGCCTCGTCGAGGTCCTTGAGAACGGCTCCTGGGAGCGCTGCGGCCTTTTTAAAGTTGGTCTCGTCCTTGGCTACCCAGGCGCCGCCTAGAAACCGTGATCGGCCGGTCTGGCTCTGCGAGGCAACGTAGACGTAGGGGTCTTTGCCGTAGCCGCGGTAGTAGATGGTGTTTCCCTTGCGTTGCTCGGGTATGAAGCCGAAGTCTTTGGCGAATTTGTCGAATTTCTCCAGATCTTTATGTTCAAAATAGACGTGTCCGATGCGAGATAGTTGGACTTTGGACGCGTTGTTGGTCACGGTAGGGATTGACGATGGTGGGAGGAACCAGTCTTGCCATGACTTGGGGAGACGGGCAATCACATCGAGGATGAACATAGACATCTCGCTGTTTGGGATGCGATTGTGCTTCCTGTAGTAATATCCTCTGATGTGCTGCGTGGTAAATGCAACCTAAACTGGTCTGTGTTCGTTCTGTCAATGATGGAGAGATACCAGATATACTAGCAAGATGAAATAAATAAACAGCTCTATTTCTATATTATAACGGAATAGTTGGGGCAAAATCTGTTATCCTCGCCATCCCATGTGTTCCCGCAGGAGAATTCCCATTGTCGGATATTGAGACTCGCCGCGGCACATCTTCGGAGCCACTAACTATACTCACCCTTGTGATTTACACACCGTGCAAAATGTTAAAGCGTTTAAGCCTATATCAAAAAATTCCAGACCCTTTTATAATTTACTTGCCTGACAGTCACCCTTTCCACCCTGCACTTTCAGTTTTCCAATGAATACCGACGTGGTTATTGTTGGCGGTGGCCCATCGGGCCTCACTCTAGGGCTTGCTCTGGCAAGACACCAGGTTAAAGTAAGTGGATATCTTTTATATCCGTTAAAAGGAAATGAACCTGACTCTGTTCTAGTCCATTATACTTGAGAAAGAGCATGAGATCACGCAGGATCCTCGAGGAGTCGTGCTCACAGGTGATGCTCTTCGAAGCCTATGGACCCTAGGCCTGGGGAAGCATGTCTCCTCGATAGGGCAGGGTAGGTGCTATATTCAGGCCTTCAGTTATTTGAGAATTAGAGCTAATGTTAGCTACCTGGTAGAGCTACACTCCCTGAATTTTCATACGACTACCCATCAGAACGAACCTTTTTACAGGACCATGCTTGACTCGGACGTGCTGGAACATGCTCTGCCGTGTACCATCCTGCAGAGTCAACCGCGGCTGGGTAAGAACCCCTACATACGGAACCTCACGTCCCGTCGAACCAAGTCTGACTGATTGCGCTCAGAGTATTTCCTTAGGCACTTGGTAGCCTCCTCCGAATATTGCACCCTCCAATCAGGTTGCGAAGTGGTTAGTCGTGACGAGCAGGCCAACGGAGTGACGGTCCACTACCTCGATAGCGACAAAACACCTCACCAAATCCACGCCGCGTGGCTGGTCGGAGCAGATGGGAAACGAGGCGTCGTCCGCAAACACTTCCTCGAGCCTTCCGCTGGTGTCCGCCAGGAAACCGGGATCTTCGAGTACGAAGGTATTTGGATAGCAGCAAACCTCAAAATCACTCTTCCAACGCCACAAAGCCACCCCGACCTTGCACTCTGGACAGCTGGACTTGACCCAGAGTCGGTATATGACCTCTTCTGGCCGGCCAACTGGCACTTCTGCCGGCCACCTGGAAAGCCGGTGGCCTGTGGTCGGTTTGGTCCGCATTCAGATCGACTGTGGCGTCATGAGTTTGCGGTGCCTGAGTGGAACGATTCGATGGATGCAAGTGCCAAATTCTGGGAGCATCTCACTCCGCTTATCACACGAAAGATCCGGCCGCTTCACAGCGGCTGCCCTGTAGAGGTAACTTTTCCTAGGGATTGTATTGAGGTGCTTCGCTGTCGTCCCTTCCGCTTCAGTCACCGCGTCGTTAATAAATGGTTTGCCGAGCGGACCATGCTAATTGGAGACGCGGCACACGTATTCCCGCCATTCGGTGGGCAAGGAGTGGCATGTGGTGTTCAGGATGCGCTTGGGCTAGCCTGGCGACTTGCCATTCTCACCAAGGTGGGCTCTCTTGCGCACTCACGGACTCTGCGGGAATCTCTTCTTCAGGCCTGGGCGGATGAACGTCGAATGGGCACGGACAATTCAGCCCGGCTAACCCGGCAGAACGGCGAGTTGTGCAACAAAGAAGGTTCATGGTCGTTATCGGTGCAGCTCGCCTGTCTGAACGTTGCCGATGCTTTCCTCGGGGCTCTGGGTATACGTCTCGGGCCGTTCAGAGCAGATAGCCAAGGGTACCGCGGCTGTGTCGGGGGTGGCTTCTCTACCGAGGACGGCGGAGGGATCAAGCTGGGCCAGGTCTACGTGCAAACACGTCTTCCTGATAGCTCGACCCTGAGAGTTGAGCTGTCTGACCAGGCTCTGCGGCACGTTCCTACCATCTTGACTCTTCTTGTCGTCGCCCCCATCCAGTGCTCTGAAATGGACCAGGAACTCATCGCTCTCCATAAGGTGCTGCGGCAGTCTAAAATGGACCCTGCAGTGTTATCGGAGCAGTCAATTGTGCAGTTCGACCCTTCCGACTCGTCAGACCACCTCCCTAGTGCGAGCCGGTGGCCGGTTTGTCGTGTAGCCCCGGCGGACCTTCTTATTGGGTACCCCGTCCGTCCAGGATATAGCTCTGGGCAGTTCATGCGTCGCCTGGGTGACCCTCGCGCTCGATATGTGATTTTGAGGCCGGATAATATTGTTATTGCCATGAGCAGAGACCTAGGTGGCCTCAAGGGTAGCTTGGACGCGCTGGAAAGGAACCTTTCTTAGAAACCGATTGATTGCATTTACAAAATTTCCCGTTACTGTCACTGTTTGCGCTCTTGTCTCATCCCACCCTGCTGTACATTATCTGCAAAGTCTGTAAGTATAATATACAAGTCATATGTCCGGTTTTGCAATTCCCTGAGGCTGTTCCACATCTTGTTTACTCTTGACACACACAGGGCACTGGGCCAGATACCAGCAAAGTGCTACAAATTGACAAGTCTATAGTGCCTTACCTAGATTCCTACTCATATCATGACGAACTGTTTACAGCAGCGGACTTCTAGAATGGGAATTGGCTCTATTACATGACGATAAAAGAAGTATATAAATTCTGGAACAGACAAGATACAGCCGACCTAGCACTCCGCGGCACCCCCCAATTATACTAGCCACAGACTGAACCTATACCACAATTTGGACTTTATCAATTTCCATACAAGGGCCCTGAATATCTCATAAGAGGAGACATATTAGTACAAGCCTCTTTCATCCCGGAGCAAGAAAACTCGGGTGATGTTAACAGTCTTCGAACATGCGAAAGGTCATCTCACAGCATATTGTCCTGGCCCTCTTCGAATTCAATCCGGCTGTTTAGCACTCCGAGACCGGTAATCTCAACCTCGACCGAGTCCTTATCCTTGAGAAATTGTCGAGGGGTTTGGAATGCACCCACACCCGCGGCAGTCCCTGTCATAACAATTGTATACGCGGGAATTGTGGTGCCTAATCAGAAGAACAGAAACAACAATTATTACGCCATTCTGCTCACAATATTGATCAATGGTGGGGTGTAAAAGGAACACTCACCCTGTGACATCCAACTGAGAATCCTCGCCGGTTCGTAGATCATATCCGTGGCGAGGTGAGAATCCTGCTTGACTTGCCCGTTGACGCGCGTCACCAACCGGGCCGTCTTCTCAACCTTTTGCCAGACGGATGGGTGCACCAGTACCGGTCCAACCGGAGCAAATCTATCAAAGGCCTTGGCATAGAAGAATTGCCCGCCTGACTGCTCGGGGAGTTGGAAAAAGCGGCAGGATAGGTCATTCCCAATGGTATAACCCAGAATATATGAGGAGGCCTCTTCAACGGTGAGGTCTCGACACTCGCGCGAGGTTACGAAGCAGAGCTCGCCCTGTTATTTATGGATATGGTCAGGCTTTTGTCCAGCATGTTTTGCAGCAAATGATGGCAGCACTCACCTCCCAGTCTGGTAGATGGGACGCACAGAAGCGGTTCATCGCGATTGTGTCGTCGGGACCGGCCAGAGAGGCGGCGGGTTTTGTCCACAATGGTGGATTCGCGGAGACATTCAGCTAATTTCCTGATCAGCCTCTGTCTGGAGACCCCGTACAGTGACGAACTTACATTTGCTTCCTTTGCATGGCTCTTATAATTAAGCCCGACGCAGTAGATCGGCAGATCGTGTGCAGGGACAGGAGGGAGGAGCTGTAGTCGATGTGAGCAGCATTTCATCTATAGACATTATTCTCACAGGTTTGTAATACCTTGGCAATGGTGGTAAGTGTGCCATTTTTCTTCTCCTTCAGTTCTTCGAAGGAACGATGCGCATTGACTTGTGCCCCAATGACAGGCTCCGTAGAGTCGATATCGGCAAAGAACCTGTCTCCCTTCTCATCTTCAAAATGGATCAGACATTTGAACTCGGCCATTTTCAGTTGTCCTTTGTTTCTTCGGTCTTATCTATCGTTGAGGCTGATTCCTTTGAAATATTTTGGGCAAAGTTTGAGTGAGCAGGGAAGAATACAGGAGATTTCACGAGGGAGATAATGTCTTGTGGAAGTGCCCAGAACGCGAGATAGTAAGATTCAGACGAATTATGGATCTACTAATACAAGGCGAAGTATTTCCTCGGCTCCTCCTGATGATGTTCCGTAGATCAGTGGATAGGGTTGAGATTCCCCCGCGGAGGATCTTTGGCGGAGAGTTAAGACCCACGGTTTCTCTGGGCTCGACCCGAACACAATAATCATCGCAATAGTACCTACCTAGAGTCACTAATTCCGATGTCTGTTTCATAGTTTTGCTCGTTATTCATGCCAACGAAGTCAGCTAGTCAATCCTAACGTATGGAAGCCATTTCGATGAGGAAGTAACTTGAAATGGAAGGTATCATCTTTCTTTTGCTCCATCTTCGCTAGTAATCCATATTTACCGTAAATAAAGGCGTTGAAATTGACCGCCATGGCTAGGTCCAAGAAAACATTGTACTTCGGTGCCAGACGGTTCCTACCCCAGGCTTCCTGTCGACGGTTCCGGGTAGACGCCTCCAAAAGTATTTGTGTTTCGTCAATTGCCACGTGAATTGGTTAAAAATGCTCGAAATGTTTCTTCTCCTTCTCAAAAGCCTCATTTGGTTGAGTCTCGAGGTCCTTATTGATCGTGACCTCCTGGCAGCGAAGGCAAGAACTAGGTTTACTTGGTATACGTCAAATTGCTCGTTATGGTCACCAACCGTCTCTCTAGCCCCGTCACGGGGCACCGCAAAATGATGGATATGCATGAATTCAGGAAAACTTCAAGAATCCAGAAAGCCACTCATATTCATTCGCCTAGATCTCCACCGGCAACTTTCGGCCTGAGGCCTTTGCTTCTACTCTCAGCTCCGCAGCCATGTAAATGCCCTCCAGAATGAAGGGCTGCCAATAGTTTCTTACCCCAGTTGGATGGAGGGAATTGGAATTCTATCCTAAGCTCAGCCTGTTCTCATCTTTCTCCTGGCGCATCTGTATCACCAGTGTCTCGTCATTAGGGTATCGTTCAGTCGCCTCATTCATTGCTTCGCGAGTCGGTTCTTCCCACTCGGGCCGGCCGGGACCGGGTGCTAGTATTGGGTCAAGCCATTTCATCCCTTTTTGATCGAACTTCGTCCGGTCCTCGCGGTTCTCTTTCGAAAACCAGGAGAAAGTGTCGGGGTTGAGTGCGATGACTGTATTTAGCAAAGTCCTGCGCGAACTGAGCTTCGTGGTAAAGCGCTTGATCTGAATACCTGCACTGTAACGCATCCTGCTCTTCATACTAATGCGCGGCGAAATAAGATAGGCTTGGGAGAAAATACAGAATGTAATCCAGAGTGTAGTGAAGTACGCGTCCCAGCCCGTTAATGCCGCAGCTCCAATGACTAGAGCCCATTGTCCTAAAATGAGAATGCGCAGGACCTTGAAGAGGCAGCGCGCTACGAAATGCGACGGTTGCGGCCCATCATGCTCGAGTGGTCGGTACAATAGAGAATTCACAAGAGCACTCTCACCCTAGAACACTGTCCATTTGGCCGAGTACACATGCCCCGTCACCACTACCAGTCGATTGAAATGCTGCCGCCTGGTAGCAGTCGCCTGGGTTGGCAGCCGTACAACATGAATGTGACTAAACCCGTTCCCAAAGCTGTTACGAAAAAGGCTAATGACAGGTAGCAGCCGAGCATCACGCTCTGACGATCATACCAGATAATATTGCCTATCCGAATGTTGATACCACCAGATACCGGAGGAACGTTGACACGGGATGCCTGATAAAAAGGTGACTGGGCCACGTAGGTTCTGGTCGGTCGCTCTCCTTGTCTGTCAGCCTGACAACGTGCACAACTCCAGGTTCTGGATTCCTGGATCGGTTCGAGAGATATTCTCGTGGAGGTTGAGAACGTTGAAAACAAAAGGCGAAAACGGATGTCGTTCCGAAGGTAGGCGAAAGAACAGGAAAAAGTAGTTCTTAAAGCATTGTCTAGTTTGGATCATCATGCCCTTAGAGATTTGCAAAATGTGTATTGAAGGGGATCCAGATATCTATTTGAGGCAATCAAGGACCATGTTGTTTACTTCAGCTGTCTGAAACTCACATGACCGCGTTGTTCCCGCCCGTAGTAAATTCCTACAGTCTAGGGCCCTAGACCACTCTGGGGCTCTATCTTATAATAGCGGATCTAATAACGCCTCTGGGACCAACCTTAACTAGCTTTTAATACAATTTTATTCAAAACTGAACCTTAGTAATCAGGCCATCGTCGTGCACACCACAGTTAACACTAACAGCTGACAAGACATTAGTAGACCGGCTATTGACGAAAGGTTTTCCACGATTACTGAGCAACGCGAAACACTATTCAGTGTGCAACACTCCAGAGCATGAGGGTTTTCAGTAGTGGTGGTTGTCCAAAAGCAGTGGTAGGTGACCAGTTGGCCGAACTGTGGAACCGTGGGTGTGGATGCTTTGACAAGGTGCAATGAAGCTTTGGTCTGTACCGAGGTACCTTGGTGGCCGCTTTGGAACTTGGGTATTTTCAGGTGGGGATTCGCGGAGAATTTAATCAAGCCGTCACCGACTTCAAGCTTCCCAAGATCCGTAGTGGTGGATCCCTGCAGCTCTGACGGTGGTTCAGAACTTCAGAGTTAGAATCATCAGATTTCTACGCCATTCTGGAGCAAGAAAGCTAGCCGGATTGAGCGACAGTGCTGCGCTATCACTGGTGCTTTCCTTCATTCGGTCTAATTTTAGCGGGAATATTATATATCTCCTCAACTCCGGGTTCTCAGATCCAGAATTCCCTATTTCAAAGTCACCCATACCAAGATGCTGTCTATTAACGTCCCTGCCTACTCTAAACCGTCTGGGTACCAGCTCTCCGAAGTCCCCAAGCCGGAAATTCAGGACCCAAAAGATGTTCTTATCAAAGTTCACGCTGCCAGTATAAACCCAATCGACGTGAAAAAGGCCGATGGTATCTTAAAGTTTCTTCAGAAAGACGCGTATGTGCATCCCATCTAGATGGCCAAAAGATGACTCACTCAGAATGGATCAGGTTCCCATACAAGATCGGCTATGATTGCGCCGGTACAGTCGTCGAGATTGGCGCAGGCGTGACTCGATTCAAAGTTGGAGATGCAGTCTACGTTAGATTGCCGGAGACGACTCGAGGTTCGTAATAATCGAGAAGAGCTAGTCTCCGTACTTGAGCTGACAAAACCAAATTAGGCTCGTGGAGTGAATACGCCAAATGTGCAGAGGACTACATCGCGCTCAAGCCACCGTCGTTGTCATTTGAGAGCGCAGCCTCGATTCCATTAGCAGGAATGACGGCTCTTCAGGCGCTGAGGAAATATGATGGCGATCTCACCGGGAAAACTGTATTCGTACCCGCTGGATGTATGGTACACCTTCTCATCGTATTTGCGTTATTTGCTAATAGGACGGCAGTGAGCGGGACCGGTCTATACGCCTGCCAACTTGCGAAACACGTTTTTAATGCCGGGAAGGTGATCACGACCGTCTCGACATCGAAAGTTGCCCAGGTGGACGAACTCTTAGGAGAGGGAACGGTCGATCAGAGTAAGAAGTTCATCCATAACTCACCATGCAATAACGGCTGACTCGACCTTAGTAATCGACTACAAGAAGGAAGACCCAAAGACTGTGATTCAGCATGGCACTGTCGATTTTCTGTTCGACACAGCCGGCGTCGCCATGGAATACCTTTGTTTGATGCGACCAAAGACCAGCTGGGTTGTGTCTATTGCAACATCCCCGTCAGGGAACCAGCTGCAGGATTTTCTTGAGGGCCGCAACTCTGTCCCAATATATGTCAAATTCGTCCTGAATTTGCTGGATTCCATCCGCAAGATACGCGCTCGACGCTACGGCGTTAGCTATACCTACATGTTCCTGCATGAGAACGGCAAGGACTTGGACGCGATGCGGGGATATGTTGAGGATGGTAAATTGAAGACAGTCGTGGGGACTACAGTGGATATGTCCGATATTCAGGCCGTGCGAGCCGCCTGTGAGGTTGTATACAGCAACCAGGGAGGCCTTGGAAAGGCTGTGATTAAAGTTGCTCAGTCTGAGAATTGACCATTAGTACTTCAGATGGCTGTGCGTGTCAACAAACCCGGAGGAGATTAGGGTACTTCCTTTGAAACTGTGTTGTGGAGGTTTAGCTTTGCTTCCGGTCATCATTTGGTATTTTGAGAATTTTATTAACTTGTATACTACACTAATATCATAATATGTTAAATAGTAGTAATGTATCAGCACCATTAAGGAATCAAGAAATGTCACTAATAGACCTAACACTAGTGAGGAACTATCAGGCACTATAAATGACTGATCCGGATTGATCTGCTGTTGTATTATACTCAACCTGCATATTTTCGCACGATTTACCCTCAAATAATTTGAAGACAAGATGTCGGCGATGGCGCCTAGAACTAGTATGTTGGCATTGCTACCACAGTACCACCCCATAGTGTAGGTACGGACCTAGATGATCCAGAAGCTGCTGTCCGGGATTCTAAGATCCCGGGGGAGGGATCGGGATCCTAGCCCTCCGGGAGTCCGTTCTCTCGGTTATCGGAACGTCTACGAATTGTAGACTGCCGCTATCGACGCTTGTTGTGGTAGGGTTAGAGCCGCTCAACTTCTCTTGATAGCCATATGGGCAGCCTCGGTATATACCGAGGATCCACTGGCAAGCTCTAGGTTCGGGGCAACAGTCTATCCGTGTTTGCCATGTGGCGAATAATCCAAGGACCTACGCGGCGGATCCTTCTCATACAATTATGATTTGGAGATCTTGACTAGCTGGATCAAGACAAGCTCGCGAGGAAGGTTTTAGTCTTTGCCACCAAACGCAGGGGTGCACGGAGTAGGTATTCAGCTGTAGATCCATGTCACGTGACGCTCCGTGTAGCTCACCCCTTTCTCCCCTTTCCTGGAATCCTGGTGGTCACCGCTATCATCGTTCTCTCTCATTTGGCTCCACAGTAGGCATAAAAGATATATAAGGCTATTTGGATTCATTCAACTGCAGAGAAAAAAAAAAAAGGAGGCAGCCGGAATAAGACGGCCCCCTGTGAAAATGGCGGCGTTTGTTGCGGACTTTCTAAATCCTTGCAATTACTTGGGAGGAGTGAGTTTTGATCCTGAGCGAGATATACAAGACTTGTCAGGAAAGGTTGTTTTGGTGACTGGAGGTACGTCGGGCGCCCTGGTTTCCAACAGAGTGACCGAGGAAGGTCCTAACGTCTCTAGGAAATGCTGGACTGGGGAAGGAATCCATCCTCCAGTTAGCGAAGCATAACCCGGAGAAGATATTCCTTGGAGCACGCTCGAAAACAAAGGCAGAAAGTGCCATTAGCTCTCTTAAAGGACAGCTCTCGAATAACGTGAACATTACGTGGCTTCCTCTTGATCTGACATCTGTTGAATCTATCAAAGATGCAGCCCAGCAATTCAGCGCACAGTCTTCACGGCTCGATATCCTAATGCTCAACGCAGGCGTGATGGCTCTTCCACCAGGAGAAACAGAAATGGGCCATGAGATTCAGCTTGGCACAAACCATACAGGCCACTTTCTTCTGACCAAGCTCCTGCTCCCAACCTTGCTGAAGACAGCTCAGGAGCCGAATTCAGATGTGCGAGTTGTCTCATTATCTTCAATTGGACATAATCTCGCGCCACCATTCGAAACCATCCTGGATCAGGACAAGTTGAAAAGGGTCCACACAAACCTTCGATATGGAGCCTCCAAGGCAGCCAACATTCTATTTGCTGCTGAGCTTGCAAGGCGCTTTCCTTCAATCACCGCTGTATCTGTCCACCCGGGTATCATATTCACGGATCTTTACGGCCCTGCGAGCGAGGGCTCTACCATCGCTGCTTTGAGTTCGAAAATGCTGAGCATTTTTGGAACACCAGTCCCTGCAGGAGCTTATAGCCAGCTATGGGCCGCCGCGGGTGCAAAGAAACAGGATCTCGTCAATGGGGCGTATTATGTCCCCGTGGGAAATCTCAAGGCTCACAATAAATACGCCAAAAACGAAGAGCAAGGGCGACGTCTCTGGGACTGGACTGAGGCTGAGTTACAAAAGTTTGGAGCGCTTACCTGATTCGGTTTCATATCTCGCTGTCCAATTTAGCTTCCTTTGGATGGATGTTTAACTATATATAGCATGTTAATATATAAACTATACCTGACAGACTAACTTTGCATTTATAAGTCTCCTATAACTAACTTTGTATCCTCTATCTCCAGACAGGGCTTTAGTTGCTCACTAAATTTCTAGGAAGACTTCATTCGTTAATCTCGATTGCTTCAGAAACTAGGAGTCTAGTGTGCGACATGGGAAATGGTTAGTAAACAATAACTGGTATGTCACCACATTGCTTCTATTGGATAGTATTAGTAAATAATAAGGAGTGGTCTAAAGCGGATCTTTTTAAAAATAGATCCCCGCGTTTCGATCTGGTACCGGAGATCATCGTCATAAGACCAGACCCATCAAATATTCCGCACAACCACCGTTGCAAGCATCAACCGGAGCTTGTTAGCCATCTAGTCCAATCGAAATCTCAGATAGTCCCTTCCATAATCAAATCTACATGGTCTACCATGCCCCGTGTAAAACGAAAGACCAAGGCAAGAACACTCTAAGCCCGTTCACTACTGTTACAACATCTGACCATCACCCAGGATGAGGACCTCAAGCGGGTCCGCGAAAACCAGCGCAAATGTCGGCAAAGAAGGCGTGACTACGTGGCCGAACTAGAAAGCAAAATCGCAGCTTATGCGGAGGCTGCGGCTGAGGCTGATAGGAGGCGACAGGCTGTGGAAGAAGAGCTTCGCAGAGAAAATGAAGCACTGCGGACCTTGTTGGCCTCCAGTGGCCTTGGTCACAATGTCCTGGACCATGATACCGCGCAGAAGCATCAAGAAGCGATAGTAGACGATATGCAAACGAGTCTCAGCTTCGCGGCAAATACTGTGCCGACAACCCTTGAACTGCACGCTGACTCGATGGCCCTGCAGTTGCCGAACGTATGACTATCTGACTATCCACCGCGTGCAAGAGGTGTGAGCCATGACTGACCAAACATATGTCAGGTTACTCCTAGCTTTGGATGCCCCACTACGATACGTGAAGTTGCGGATACTGGACTTGTGGCGCGTTCGAGCGTAGATTTTACGTCCTCGCAATCTGTAGATCTTATCAATCTTCTGGACTTTCCGGTACACCCTCTACACGCACCGACCGTACCGGAGAGAGAATCGCAAACACGTCTATTTGAGCTCCTGCCTCCGACTAACCAAAGTACAACCGGTCTGGATATCACCTTAGGATTAGTTGATCCTATTCTACATGACACGACGCTCTGCTCTGTTGCCATTCAGATTGTCCGTCAATGTAATAAGAAGGCTCTAAGCATGGTGGAGCTGGACGCTAAGCTCCGGCAGGGGTATAGGAATGCTATGTCTCCTCTGGAAGGTTGTAGGGTCACTAACTGGGTTTTACTGTCTGTCTTAGCCGAAATTATACAATAGTGCCATTTGTTTATTCACCCATTTGTTTATAATTGCCAGTACACGATAACCGCTGTTGTGTGACTCCACATAATTACCAAAGTCAGGAGCCTTGTCTGTCGTCCATATTTTCTTCAAGTATCATCGACAGAAGGTGGCCAATCATACCAAACCAACTGAAGAATATTGCGGAAATCGATAAGCATGGATACGAAATCGGTGACATATCAATCATCTTTGCTAGTTGACGCTTTAGGAGGGGTAGGATTAGCGATGACATACCAGTTATACGGCTGCCCAATCACCTGGTAGCTTCTCCGTGCCTCTCACATACTTGAGCGTAAACCTGCGTTGCTTGAGCTTCCAATTTACAGGACTCCTACCTTTGGCCGCTGTACGCTTTGGCCTAAGGATATAAATACAAATACAGTCCAACTTCCTCTTATCAGTTCTCTCTCATAGTTTCGAATCAATCTACGTCAAAGGTCGCCTTTTCTCCTTCCTTTTGCTTCACCTATCCGCCGTCCAAGAACATTGAAGCTGCCAGAGAACAATCGTCAGCACGCAAGTCTGTGGCAATGGCTGAGGACACCTATCAACACGTGCGATCCCGCTATGGTGACATCGCCAAACGTACGGACGTCACAGTCCATGATAAGGAAGATGATATCGCATTAGCGTTTGGGTACAGCGCAAAAGACCTCCGTGCCCTTCCAGACAAAGCAAACCTAGGATTGAGTTGTGGCAATCCAGTGGCACATGCCAATATCAAGGAGGTACCTGATCCATAAAATGTGATCGTAGACTCACACATTCTAACTCTTTGACAATTGAACTAGGGAGAGACAATTGTCGACCTCGGAAGTGGAGGCGGCATCGATGTTCTTCTAGCCGCTCGCAAGGTGGGACCAGAAGGAACTGCCATCGGGATTGACATGACGAAGGTTAGCTAGCGATTCTGTTCTGTGAGGAGCTATGGACTGATACTTCAACCAGGACATGATTAAACTGGCTATGAAAAACGCCGAAGCGGCTGGTCTGTCCAATACTCGGTTTATTGAGGCATCCATCACCTCGATCCCGCTTCCGGATGCCAGTGTCGACTGTATCATCAGCAACTGTGTCATCAACCTTATCCCATCGAAAGATAAACCGACTGTATTCCAGGAAATTGCTCGCTTGCTGAAGCCAGGCGGAAGGGTTGCTATCAGTGACATCCTGGCCAGGAAGGAGCTCCCAGCGAACATCGTCAACGATATAGCTCTCCATGTAGGGTGCATTGCAGGGGCCAGCCAGGTTGCAGAGTATGAGGACTATCTCAAACGCGCAGGATTCAAAAGTACGTACTTGGGTTCCATGCAGATATTGCTGTTCCGTTGCTCATGTGACTTCAGATATTCTGATGGTCGATACTAAAGCAGACCTCAATCTCTATAAACAGTCCTCCTATCTAGGCCAGAGTAGTTGCTGTGGCCCAACGGAGTCTGGCAAAGAGTGGCCAGCTAAATATACTGACATGGACTTTAATGAATGGGTTGGTAGGTTTGGCCTCGATTTTGGGACTGCTTATATGGAGATGTTAATCATCTGTACAGCCTCATTCCAGATTTATGCTGTCAAAGACAGCAGCGTCGTGTCGGACGGGTCGTAGAGAGCTGGTGTCTGCAATGAAGCATGACGCATTTGATATCGAACGATCCACAATACCGTATTATGTAGTCAGTTCTATTGACACAGAACAAGCATATAATTACCTATTTATCACTTCAGAACAACCCAGAAGCATCGACTTGAAGTGTAACAACAACAGCCAAGCATTGTTATGCGAGACCTAGATCCTTTTAGCATACATATCACCTCAGGTCTCGGCCGTCTTATTCCTAAGGTAACCTTGAGAGCGCGCCTGCGCTTCTTCTACACTCTCCCATCTTCCTTCCTTAGGGTAGCTACCACAATAGTATTCATTATTCAATTACGCTCCAGCCTGTGGCCTCGCTTCTGTATATACTACCTATTGGTGCCCTAGACGGCCTAAGAACATTTCAACCTCCTGACGAGTTGTCCATCGGGAACGACAACAGTAACGGCCACCAAGCAATCGCGAGATATCATATCCGACAAGCCTAGTGTCTTGTTCGTTTGCATTCATAACGCTGGCTATTCCCAAATGGCCGCTGGATACCTTACCCACCTTGCAGGTAATGCTATTGAAGTTCGCTCTGCTGGCTCAGCCCCTGCCAACTCCAAAAATCCTAACCACAGATGCTGTCCAGGCCCGCGATGTTGTTATCACCGTGGGCTGCGGCGATGCTTGCCCCTTCTTCCCAGGCAAGCGCTACCTTGATTGGGAACTCGATGGTCCCACCGGGCAAACCCTTGATTCTATACGCCCTATCCGTGACGGAATCCGTGGGCGAGTCGAGTACCTTATCAAAGAGATATTACAGTCCCGCTGGATTTCGTTCTTCGCCATCAGCAGATGTACGCTGTCACGCAGGACTACTCCAAAACGTTGCTACCAGCTAGTCCACTAGATGTATCTAATTGCAGGCTTGACGAATAAGCTCCAACCTACCGTGAATAGAAGTTGAATCACAAACCATAAACATCCAATTGATCTTACAGAGGGTACTAGAGAGCACCAGTGAAGCACGATCCTATCTGCCTGAAGCGCTGGAAGGTCGCCGGCCCGAAATAGTCAATGGCTTCCTCTAATTGGCCATCTGCCATCAATGCCACAGCATCCCTTCCAGCTTTCATGTGCTTCTCCAAAGTGCCGAGTCTATGAGCCACAATGATGGCAGTGCGGGCCTTTCCAGTGAACTCATCGTCAATGATACGATGAACCGTGGACTCCGTGACTTCGTCGAGGGAGGATGTCACTTCGTCCAAGAGGACTACAGCCTTCACTCCGGAACGTTGTAATGCGTTGGCTTTGACGAGCGCTCGACAGAGTGCGAGCAGTTGGCTCTGTCCTACAGAGAGCTCTTGAAATAGTGAGACCTTCTGGTCAAGAATCGGATGTGCACCAGTGTCTGATATATTAGCCATGGTAGCTGGCTCTCTCCCAGGGTACGTGGGGCCTTCGAAGAAGTGTGACCATAGCCCGGCTTTGTTCAATGCAGCAGCGAGGACATCATCCCAAGTCAGCAAGTATAGAAGCAAACAGTGAGGCCGAAAACAAGGCCTTGTGCTGCACATCCAAGCTTGAGAGCTTTATGTAATATGAGGGTAATATAACCGAGAGCAATACACCTAGACTCTAGTGCCGTTATTGCTATGAGATGTAGAACCCCGAGTCTTGGGGGGGAGAAATACTGACGGCCTTGAAGAGTCCTCGCCAGCTTCGGGTGCGGCGGATGCTAGACTTACGAAGTTCCCATAGTCTGACAGGGAGAATCAACAGAAATATAGCGGCAGAGACTGTAGATACAGCAAGTAACACATGTGTTGGCTCTGGAGCCATTGTGGCTGCGTCAGAGATTGCTGACTAGATGGGCAGCAGCGATCTTTGAAGCTCCTCTCAATATTTGGGAGGTTATCTTTAAGGATGAACTGGCTGACATTCAAAGGCACGAAACAAGCGGTCAAAAACAAGGCACGGGGAACAAGATACTGCTTATGATTCGTTCAAGATGGGCCTCACAAGCCCCTGTTGGAATGGGAACACTCATGGAAGGTCAATTGACCTCTATTTCTTTCTGGCCTAGCGTTTAAAATTCCCGACAGTTTCCTCTTGAGACTTGTAAGGTGGGCTACTGGGATGCGACATGCAATACAGGGGGTTTTGTCTTTGATTGGTCGCCTTTGGCTAGAATTAGTGGGTGATAAGGGATTTACCTTTATGATGCCCACAGTAAGGCCGACTGTGAGGCCTTACGGTAAGCGTAATTGCTGGCGCTAAGATACTTCCTCGTATGACCAGCTATATAGAGGTCAGATTTTTTGCATCTGGAAGCGTGATTAAGGGATATATTTACTTCAACTATAGCGTCTCAGAGATCGTGTGCCCAGCTGGTAACTACTTGCCGGTTGAGCCTTCACAGGAGATTGGCTAACGGTGACGCAAGTAAAGCCAATGATGAGCACATGGATCTAATATGCATGACTCGAAGTAGGCGTTAGAAACTCAGATGCCTATTGGTAGCCCCTGAGGCGGATTAAAGAGGTCAAGCATCCGGATTGCTTATCATTACCAAAATTGCGATCTGTGGAGGCCCAAGGGCAGTGGTGAGTTTGAAAAATGACCTTCACTTTTGAGAATTGGTTTTGGGGATCTGGTTGCAAATAGATAAGACCTCCGGGAAGGTGAACTTGCTGCCAGCCGCACTATTTATTAGCCTTCATCATTCATTGTTTAGTGAGGTGAAGTATGGGATATGCCTCTACTTTGGGTTCGATGAGGCAAAAAAATGTAAATTCTTTCTTGAGATATTTTAAAGCTTCAAACACTCCTTTGACTCCGTGAATTGATTATGTTTGTGGTGAACAAACGTGAAAAAAAAGATTTGAATTTGTGGTGCTGCCCGGAATCGAACCGGGGCTGGCACGGCCACAACGTGACGTCCTACCACTAGACCACAGCACCTGTTGTTGATATTTTTGTTGGTGTATGCTACAAAAGGAACCTTGAATCCACTCAAGGTCGTCAGATCACCCTCAAAGTTGATCAGTACCTTCCAGCTGTTTTTGTCCTGTGGAAAACTGGTGCCTCATTGAGAAGGTAATCACGGTAGTGGTTGCTTATGTTAGACAAGTCCTAATTATCACCACTACGCAATAGCAATGTTGGCTGAAATGCACTACATGGCTATCTACCGGATATATATATATACATAGATATACTGAGCAATTCGGGGACCCTTTGATTCACTGCGTCGTAAAGCACATCCCAAGATAGAAGTGAAAGGAGTTAACCATCCAATTAGTAATATTACTTCAACTTGCACATAGACAAGAGGCACCGATCATCCCTTTCTCTTTGTTCTATTCCTTGGATTGGGTTACCAGAACATGGCCCGCTACGAGAACCTCAGCGATGATATTCAGCACTGGCCAGCTAACAGAATACGACACCGCACCGATTCCGCAGCGTAATGCCTGAGGTGAAGTCTGGACTGCAGGTTAGCTCGCTTGAGTGATTCTCCTCAGCGAAGAACATGATACCAGAATCGATTTTCCCGTAGAATACGGCGATGGGGCAGGTTGACTCGGAGACCGTGCGGTTAAACTCGCAGTAGCCTCCACTTTAGTAGAGAATACTCCAGTTGTACCACCTAGTAGTGGAAGTGTTCCAGCGACGGCGGAGGCCACTTCGACAGGATTGGCCTCAAGACCGCAGGCGGTGCCAGGCTTGGACATTGAATCGCCGTGGTATTGCCAAATCTCGTATTTTAGAGCGCAAAACCAGACAATTGTTCAAATCAGATTTGAGTGTGTCAGAAGCGCAGTGGCCATCGCTGCGGCTAGCGACAATAACACCACCTAGGGATACCGGTTGATGAGCGCTGAAACAGGTACCCGCGCGTATAGTCACGAACCACAATGGACGTAGCAGTCATAATCCAGAGCGTCTGAGTCCTAGAGCGAGTGCAAAGGGACAGATTTGGGGTAGGGGATTGTCCCGGCTCGGTCGCAATGGCGAGAATCATCCCCATGACGACAGGATGCATCATTAAATTGAAGTGTCGCCAGTAAGTTACTAAATATGCGACTGATGGCGAGGATTGATTACGAGTCGGTTGGTAGACACAACGATGTCCCTTGTATATAATGAGAACCTCCGTAGGTGCACTACTTCTCTCCAGCTTGGCACAGGCCATGATGATGCTGGAGGTAGTCTGGTTTTCGGCGAACCTTCCAAATCGTCCTAATACAGACCCACCAGTCATGTCTCACGTCGCCAATCGGTTGAGATACTCACCTATTTAAAGGAAAATGATAACTTAATTGTGGATACCTTGGGTTGGACTAGTCCCTTGCCCTCGTGGGCGCGGAGGACGATGATGGATCGACAAAGATCGGCCTGCCCCGCTAATTATCTTATCTCATCGTTTATCTTATCTGATCCGAACCCTACTTCATCACAAGCCACTCTATTACGGTACTGGCTTTGGCACGCAAATGAATAGTGATCCTGACAACATTTGTCCTGACGAGAGGTCAATTATCACGCTCCGGAATTGCAATCAAGGCATCAGGGTTTACGTGATGTTTATACCGATATCAGAACCGTGCCGTTCGCCGCCCGTAGATAATATGTGCGGTGATGTAAAAGCAAAGGAAGCAGGGTCGAACTTCCAGATCGAGTACACATCCAATAAAGACGCAGGCATCAAAAACGAAGCGAGACATTCTGTGCTTGTGCTGATAATACCCCATGTACCAAATAGCCTATTCACCTACTAGGTGCCTTGCTTCCACCTAATGGCGATGAGTTCATCCAGTTCTGACAACCACTACGGGAAGAGTTACTACTGTCTCAATAGCCACCAATTGTTGCAAAGGCGTAGCTGGCCTCTGCGCCGGTATTGCGGTTGGTTCGGTTACCGGGGTAGCATTGCCGCCATCTTGCTGTCTGGATACAGGAAGCTGCTACAGAAGTACCGCTTGATACGTCAAAGGCGTCGGCCCGTAATGCTAACGCGAATGGCGGTAATAATACTCCTTCTGGAGGTCATGACAATGCCCAGGATGTTACCGGTTTTGTAAACTTAAACGGTTGTCATCGCTTGAACAGAAGACTATTATCCAGGTCACCACCCTTCGAGTGACTGGCTAAATCAATATTAACACAATTGAGAACTCTATATCCTAACCCTTATAATAACTTTTGAGAGTGCCTTGAGCCCTCCAGTGTTGTACACAGTGTCATCTCATCCTCACAGCGCCTTTTTCCGGACCGAAGAACCAAATCAATGAGTTGTAATGGATTGATCAAGATTCGTAAAGGCAGTCAGTGCAATTGATTCTAAGGCAAAACGCGCATGTTAGCTGTGCTCATTCTCGAATGGAAGCTCCTAAAGTTAAGAGTCACCGGACACATAGTTATAGTGGAGCTGCTGTGCTTCGTAATGCGCATCGGTATTGTCCACACTATGGGAGGATGTTGGCAAAATAGGTTCATCGGCTGCACCTGAAAGAAGAAAAATAGTATGTTAGAGGCAAAGATGGATTTCTTTATGTAAAGCAGGTCTTGGTGAGACATACGACCTCTCCATCTTCTAAAGCGCTGCAGTAGAGCTTTGCCTCCTATCAGAAAAGGAGGAATAGCGAGGATGCCCGTCACCACACCCACAGCGACTGTGGCGGTCATCGATTTATCTGCCATGATGGAGGTTAAAAAGATGGGGATGAGCCTGATAGTACTTCGTTGATAGCAGATGGGTGAGAAAATTTTTTCCTGCGAGAGGGTGGTGCATTTTATATGTCCATCCGCTGTAGATACAGTCAAGGACGCAGCATACTCTTCCTGCATCATAGCATCTTTTCCACAGCGAATAACAATCGTTGCACACCCAAGCGTTGTGCGGGCTGCATACTTACTACACCATTTTTTCGCTTAAGGGATTTGGCAGTTGCAATCGGGCTAGTTACACTCTAGTCTGGACAGGAACACGCAAGAATATCGTACAAAACATGGCCCATTTAGGTCTAGTGCTCAACCGAGCATAGTCCGCAGAGATACTGCTGATACATCCATGACGGTTGCGCGGAACATGGAGTACCGACTCTGCTTCGACGACGCCGGGATTGTGCAATGACCTCTTGCGAGGCTGGTTCCAAGCAAGGACTGCGTGTCCGAATAACCAAATCAGGAACAGCTCAATGCGTTCCTCCCTTTTTTCGCTCTAGTGTTGTGGGAACACCCATCGGCTTGACAGTCTTAGTTTCTTGCGAAGCATATCAGAAATTCCTTTCTGAATCAGTGCGCAGTTCCAAATACGAGTCTTTGCTCGTTGCTACGGGGCTTATTCTCAACTTTCCTCTATTTTGTCTAATTTTACGTTCACTGGATGTTGATGACTCCTGAGCTCGCATCTATTCGATGAACTAGTGAACGCCACATAAGACTGCATGAAATCTGCTCGTGACTACTGCAATAGCCCTGACTCGTAGAGTCTTAACTACCATGTCACTATCTCGAGCTCAGATAGACTTTTTAGAGTCTGGAGTCAGGACCCCTTCTCCAGGCTGCAGCCAGCTTGACCATTATGATTGGCTGATGCCCTAGGAGTTCATTTCGGCCCGGCTAGGCTGAAACGACGGCGCCGCCAACGTTGGGAATGAACGTGGCAGATGACTTCGGGATATCCGCGTACTTTACCTAGATATCAATTTGTAATTGGAGCTACCACTCCCTTGGAATGATGCGCGGGGGTGGCTAAATCATTGCAGATCGCCATGAATGAATGAGACTTAGTGGCCCTTGATGGGAATTGTTGCAAATAGACAAATGAAGAAATGAAGAAATGAAGAAATGAAGAAATGAAGAAATGAAGAAATGAAGAAATGAAG